CATCCTGGCTATGCATCCTGACTATGCATCCTGGCTATGCATCCTGAAATGTCACTTTGGGAAGATGAACTGTTTTTTTTACATTTTATTGACTAAAGGATTAATCAAGGATTCAAGAGAATAATCAGCAGATGTATCAATAAATTTAACGAATCGTTAGTTGTGGCCCTTGTGTGATTGACCAATTACCAATCTAATCAATGATAGATGCAAAACATTTCACCCTGACTTTCTTACATTATGTAAAGAGCTAGAACAAGAGTGAAGAGTAAGATTCATATTTAGCGCTATGATGAAACATCGCTCTTATGTGCAAAAGTTTGTCCTTGTGTTTATATAATGTTTGCTTAAAATCACAAACATTATCCAAATTTAATTACACGTTAGTTTGTCATTGAGGGCTGTTGAGTTTACCAGCGTATGAAAGGTTAATTTCTAATCATTGCAGCAGCATATTCTCTGCGTTCTGTCTCATATATTTAAACGACCCTCAACTCTGATCACTGGCTGTAAGTACTTCCAGTGAGGAAATGTACTTGTTTTATGGGCGGGGGGGGGTTGACCACTTTATGGCTTTTTACGTCAGCACAACCCTCCAGCAGAGAGTATGTGTGGCCTTCCTGTTTTGTTTTTTTTTAAACTGAAACTTTTTTCAGCCCTCACCTCAGGAGGGCAGCAAATGATTAACAATGCTCGGTGAACCTGCTGCTTCAGATTGTTGTTCAGCTGTTCTGTTGAGTAACATGATTGACAGTGTGTCAGCTGTGTACATAAATGTTTGTCTGCACTGTACCACGCAGGCTGCTGTTGCGCCTTAGAAGCAATGACTTGAAACTCTCAAGTGTGTTCATCTTGACTCCCCAGGCTATCTTTCAAACACACACACACACACACACACACACACACAAAGGAGCAGTGCCAGGTCCACTACTTGCCAGTGTGTGCGCTGGCAGTGCCAAGTGCGTCTTGCGGGCTCTTGTGTGGAGTGGGATTATGTTAATTTGTCCTTGTCCTCTCACCAAGGCCTGCACACACATTTCAGGAGAGACAGACAGAGAGAGGAAAGGAGGGAGCGAAGGAGTTGAGAAAATGAGTGGGAGAAAGGTGAAGCTGCGATAAGCAGTTTGGAGAGGGAAGAACAAAACGAACAGCAGAGAGACAGAAGAACAAAACAGTAGAGGCCTGAGGCTGACGGAGAGAAAAGGAGATGAGTAGAATTGGGGATAATGAGGAAGGGAGAGAAAGAAAGACAAACGTCTGGTGAGTCTGAATCAGGTGGGTAAAGAATGGGAATGTGAGGAACAGAGATAGATGAGAAAGTACACCATGTGTGGAGGAGTAAGTGGAGCCGGAGGGGGGGGGGGGTAATGTGAAAGAGACAGATCCAAAGAGGAAGGATTGCTCACCAACTTCCCACCACAAGTCTACTCTCTTTTGTCATTTTATTTTACAGTGAAAGAGGTACAGACCAGAAATATGTGGGGAGGGAGAGACAGAGAGGGAAATATGAGGTTCCTGGCCACCCCCTGGGGTCAGCTCACAATATAATGTGAGAGATAACAAGATGGTTAACAAGTTACAAAATAATTAGAATAAAAACATTGTGATAGGTAAAATGATGCTTAATAATACAGAATTGGTGAATAATCATATAAACATGGAGGCCTGGTGTGACTCAGAGTTTATTAATCTAATGCTCTAATACTTGCTTGCAGCAGCAGCATCTACACATAGTGTTACAGAGAACTGAACTCTTCCCGTTTCGATTAGAAACAGTCCGTGTCAGTTGTTTGCTCCTCAGTTCGATGTGTTTACCTGCTATCAGCACAGATGAGACATCCTACGGAGGCTGGTGTGAGAGAGAGTGTGTGAAGTGCTGCCAAAGCTGAAGCAGCGCTGAGTTAGGAATTCAGGATTGTGAGGAGGCCAAGCGAGAGCGACGCTGGAAATGTGTAATGTTAGGATACTTGCAGATTTAAGAATGTGTGAAACGGCTATTACTGCTATTCCTCTGGAGTTTACCATAAGTAAACTTGATCCTGTGGGAATCCTTTATGAGAAGACCTACTTTGTGTGTGTGTGTGTGTGTGTGTGTGTGTGTGCGTGTATGTGTTTGTGTGTGGAGGGGGGATAGAGGCTCACTAGTTGTTCTCTAAGACAACAGCACCACCTGCTAGTGACTTCTGGTAATGTCAACTTGTAATGATCCCAACTTAGGTATTTCACACTTTTTTTTTTCAGTACATCAGCTGACTCCACACTTTGTACAGACCTTGTTAGGATGACACTGAAGCTCTTACTGTAAATTAAGAGGAGGCTGCTGCTATTAATATACTTGTACCCGTGATTTGGACTGTCAAAGTGTTCAGTGCAGCCGTGCACATAGTCATGTGGGGGTGGGGTGTACTATATATAAGTACCTGGGCCTGAGGTGCCATGACAACAAGCATCCCCACTGCTGAAGAGTATTTGAGGAAGACACCTAATCCCCACCAGCCCAACCCTGACCTCTGACCTCAATTGTAATAATGACATAAGTCATCAAAAAGATGGTAAACTTACATTGTTTTTCTCCTGTTACAGGCCCAAAAGAATGAGAGGGAGTCCATCAGGCAGAAGTTGGCCCTTGGCAGTTTCTTTGACGATGGGCCGGGCATCTACACCAGCTGCAGTAAGAGCGGCAAACCCAGCCTGTCCTCACGGTAAGACCTCTCTCATATTACATCATTCTTAAACAATAAACGTGTGACTGGTGGTTTTTCTAGTATTTTTTTTTTTTGTGGCTTGTAGTTTAATGTTAAAGATACATAAGCTGTGTACAACAGTTCAAAGAAATGGAAGGCAAATCTAAAAGGTACATTCACGGGTACCAGTAAAGAGATGACAAACAGGAAGGAAGAGAATGACAGTAAGCAGAGAGGATTTGTGCAGCGTGAATGAGCCGCACACAGTCAGCCTTTGTGGCTCTCACTTCCCAATAGACCCACACACACATATGCTACTACCACCTCCTACATTGTACGTTACTGGAACTCGATGTTCTGTAAACTCTGCTTTTTTTATTCTTGTGATTTGAATCACGTGGATTTCTCAATATTGTTGCAAAGGGTTAATGACTGATTGTGATGCTTAATGCCTCATCAATGATTATATGTCATGGAATGACAGTGATGTGTAAACATGTGTTACACTTTTACTGATACTGGATTTTTGAGGCTGATACCATTATCAATATTTGAGAATTAAAAAATCAGATAACAACATATCGGCCAATATTCTTATTTCTTTTACATGAAACGTTTTCATAAGGATCTCTTGAATTTCTTTTTCAAAGAATTGTGGAAAAGTATTGCCTGCAAGTCATAAAATGTATTATAATAATAGCCTTGCTCCTATGTGGTTTGTGTATAATTACACAATTATAAAGATTTGTGAACAACATATGGACTGAAGCAGTTAAAAGATGAACTTCTCAAACAAACTATGTAATGGTGGGACTCTTAAATTACCTCAAACATATCTTTGGTAATTCTGTACTGCAATTTCTTTCTACTTATCAGCTGACATATTTTCCAATAATAATGCTAATATAGAAGCAATAAGCTAATATTGGCAGATATATAAGTCAGGCTTTACACTGTAAAGGCATCACATTATATTAGCTGCTAGTTGTCAGAAAACGCTTTCACAATCTGTTAAGTTTGAGGTGTTGGATGCTGCCTCTCCCGAATAAAACAATCGACCACTAAGGTCCTATTTTAATTTGGACTGATTGGATCTATGCTGTGTAAACAATCAGCTCTGTTTGTAATTACTGCATTGAAAAGGTAGATTATTGATCCACAGTGGGCTGGATCTACACCTAGTGATATTCTGCTGCCCCGTGGCAACAAAAACAACCCCACAGTGCAGGCAGATTGGATCAGATCTACCGGAGGCTTCCTGGATCGATCCATATTGAAGACAAGAGGGGAGATGATTAGAAACACAACCCACTCCTTAATTTTGAAGGCAGCTCGCATCTGTTCGGATCTTCTTTCCATTTTCCTTAATTTTCTTTCTCTCTTTATCATATGATGTAGTACACACAGTTCAGGGTGCATACTCATCACAGGTCACTTGTATTAGCAGCATTGCTGTTGACATTGCTGTCTGTTTAGGCCTTGGTTCCAGTCAATTACTGCAGAAAGAGCCAACATTTGACTGCCTTGACTCTTATCTGCATTTATGCCAATATTAACATGTTGTTTGAATCTATCTCTGTCTCTCCCTGCAGGCTGCAGAGTGGGATGAACCTACAGATCTGTTTTGTCAATGACAGCGGCAGCGACAAGGACAGCGATGCAGACGACAGCAAGACAGAGACCAGTCTGGACACACCTCTGTCCCCCATGGTACGCACCGATGTTCACCTGTGCACTTTGAAGCAGGCAGAATTATAATAGTATTTCACCAGGAATTCACCAGAATTAAAGAAAATGATTTTTTCTTTAAATGACTATGAAATGTGTGTTATGATGTACAGGGTTGATAGTGTCAACGTGTTAAGACGTGAGATTGAGACAGATCAAGAAAGGAAGCGGTGAAGCTTGTGAGATATTCATGATGAATCAGAGAGATAGCTGGTGGTTAAGTTTCTCTATGAATGTCTTTGCTCACGTTTTCTGGCCTGTTAACCAATTTATGGGCAGCAAATGGGAGGTGAATTTGAACACGCTCGGCGTGGCCATGGATGACTGGCTACATTAACCTCCCGTCAGCCTGAGACACATTTAACAGAACGAGAGGGAGAAAGAGAAGATTATCATCTCTTTACATGTTCATCCGTGCTCTCCTCACATCCTATTTGATGTAAAACGACGTTCCTGTCAGTGTGTAAAATCTAAATGCCAAGAATACATAAACATTAATTATCTGACCTGGTCTTTCTTATCTTTCCTTTTCTCCCTCATTTCTTATTCTGTCCGTTTGCCTCGTTCATATTTTCTTCCACCTTGCCATACTGATCTTTTCTCGCTCTTCCTCCTTCCACCACGTCCTCCCTGCAGTCCAAGCAGAGTTCGTCCTACTCGGACAGGGACACCACAGAGGACGACTCTGAGTCTCTGGAGGACATGGACTTCGTAAGTCGACAGAAGAAGCTGCAGGCGGAGGCGAAGCTGGCCCTGGCTATGGCCAAACCAATGGCCAAGATGCAAGTGGAGGTGGAGAAACAGAATCGCAAGAAGTCACCAGTGGCCGACCTGGTCAGTACGAGAATGACAGAGCTATGCTTCCTTTCACCGTGAAGTTTTACATTAACAAGGACAACTTTTACAAAAAAGGAAACACCTGTCTAATTTTCTATATGATTCCCATATTCTTATACATTTCAGAATGTATGTAAATGTAATGGCCTGGACCAAGAGCTATGTAGTTTTATACAGATGTGGTTAGCACGCAAATACAACACAAAATCGAATTGCTCCAGAAACAAGAGATCCGCTGATTTATTGGAGTTATAAAAGTAGAGTTACTCTGAAAAAAAGACAACGGCTTCAAGCTTTTGGTTTTACTTTAAAGCAGCTATAATGAGTATTTTCATGTGAACAATGGATCATCACATGACTACTTCTATATGGAAGGGGTTACTTGTAGTGATGAACTCACAGATAATCATTACCCAACTCTGCTGTTCCCCTCAGCTCTACAGCATCTACTTTATAGCAACTTTCAATTCATTGTTCAGGTTTTCTGGCCCACGACTTTACTCTTTTAGTTCATTCGCATCGCTCTCGTCAGTGTAGTTTTTGGCAGACAAGCAGCTGTTTTCAGCAAAAACAAAGTGCCGTAAGCTACCTGCTCAGCACCAAACTACAGACAAACAAAGTTAGTGACTAGCTGGTAAAGAAAGTGGAACATTTATCAGTTAAAGATAAATAAATTATTTTCTTTTTCATGGAATGTAGGCCTGTGACATGTGATGCAGCTGAGAAATCAGCCGGCACACTTGGTATTTATGAACTGTTGTTTCCTAACACCTCTACCTGCTCCTGATGACGATTTTAAAGCAAAACCAAAAGCTTGAAACAGCAGGTATTGAGCCTTTTTTTGCTTTAGCTTTGTATAAAACTGATACACTCAAGCTGATCCTTTAAGAAGAAGGCTTTGGAATTAACCCCGGAGAAATCATAAAGTCATATATGTCCATCGTTAAGATGAGTAAGATAGCTAATTGGAGCAGAGAGCCACCAGATATGATGTCTAACAGTACATACAGTAAAATGCTTTAGCTTTTTACGTTTTTTGAACAAAATGTCAGACATATTATGGTCAACATGTGACATTCAATTTCTTATTATCATTTATTAGTCAAATGACATGAGAATAGATGGATGGGATGTGTTTCAGTAACATATGAGTATTATATGGGTGCTGAACATGTCACATACAGTATATTTTGTGATGATGTCACCTCCTCTGTTGCCTCTCTTCTTCTGCCTCCATTGAGAGGAAGGAAGGTGATGACGAGCCTGTTCATCATTATTTCATCCCTTAATAGCTGCCTCACTGCCTCTTCCGGAGCATACACATTAACACACTCACACACCCACACTGTCAGACTTACACACACTATATTTCCACCCGGACTTGCAGGCAGAACCGCTTTACTTATTCAGAGAAGGAGGGGGGCAGCTCGGCCGGATCCATCTATAATTCATACGCCGGAAAGCATTGACTTCGGTGTTTAGGGATGTAGCAGTGCTCAGCAGTCAGAAGACATCACTGTCACATCCAGACCGAACACACGGTGAATATTAAGATGTGTTAAGGCCACAGCCGTCTGCCATGTCCGCAACACTAGAGATCTATTAAACTGTAATAGATCAGTGATCGCTAACAAGGGGGTACTTCGCAATGGCCTGGTGTGTGTGGGAGCGTTGTGGAGTAGCTCAACTAATGTAAAAAAAATTTAAATTATGAATTGATTGAAAAAATATACCAATCTTAATAGGGATATAACTTTCACTGAGTCAGTTGACAACTAGTTGGCAAGGGAGCAGTTTGTATAGTTAGCTAGAAGTAATGGATAAATGGTTTTAAAGTCGGCTAAGAGAGGGTAAACATTTTAAATGATAAAAGTAACAGTAATAGTTAATCACACTTAACCGAAAAACAGTTGATACAGACAGCTAGAGGTAATGGATAAATAGTTCGAATTGTTAGCTTAGAGTTAAGGGTTAAAAGTTCAAATGGATAACTAAAAGTAGTGTATTAATAGTTGAAATAATTATTGATAGGAAATGGCGACATTTGACATAATTAGCTAGAAGCAGTGGATAAATTGTTGACATAATTAGCTGTGATGGATAAATGGTTGAAAAGAGCCCCCTTCTGCCCCTTATAGTAAACATGTACAATGGATTTGTATGACAAAATTGTAAAAATCTACTTCCACATTAAAATGAACGCATGTGGAACATGACAGGTGGTGATAAGGGGCACTTGAGCTCATCTATCTGATAAAGACAACGGGGGTCCAAGAACAATCCGTCTGCTCTTATACGGCTGCCAGTTGGTTTCATTCTGTTCCAGCTAAACTGGATTGTCCTGCCCGCTTGTCAAGAGCAAACAATGGGAATTCGGCCAGCACAGTAAGCCTGCATCCAACTGTTTGTCTGTGCTGGGAGTGTGTGTGTGTTTTCTCAATCTGTACACACAGAAACGCTGAGAGAAAGCAAGAAAGTCATCGAGAGAAGGGAGGGGGAGAGATTTGGATTCTCCTGTTCAACCTCAATATTCTCAACCAAATTCATTCAGAGAGAAGTGCACTGTAGTTCCTCAAGCTGATATTGAGTCATTGCTGGTGGTTAGTTTGCTAGTATTGAGCACTCATTCGGTAATTTGTCATTTGACATATGATCACAGAAACTCACACATCAGTCAGCGGACTGGCCTGTTGAGTTGGAACTAACACCAGTCTACAACCTTTCCCACGCACTTTGTCTTTGACATCACATCTCTCTCTCTATGTCACTCTTCAGTCTCCACCTTGCTCTAGTCACAGAAACTGAAACTGACATGCGGTGACCTCAAGTACAGTTGCATCAGTGCCAATGTGAAAGTGAAAGAATGCCAAGAAACTATTTCGAAAAGCCAGTCAGACGCTCCTCGCATGCAAACACTTAAGAGTGTGGCACATGCAAAGAGAGAGCGCACGCATTTTTCTCACAGACTGTTTGTCAAGATTGGAGATGAAGTGGGAGGGAGAGAGAAAATGGGTGTTGGAGGGGAAAGGAAAAAGAATGCAGAACGGTTGGATGGGAGTGTTGACACGAGGGAGAGTCTGGTAAACAAAAAGCTCATTATCTGCCCATTGTGCCTGAGAGAGCACACGTGATACGTTTTATTACATATTGTGGCTACACTCTCAAGTTGATTGAGAACCTGAAGCAACTGCTGGTGGCAATTTACACTCATTAACACATTCACAAAGCCAGCTCAGGTAATAGTCATGCAATAATTGGCACAAATACAAGTCTAAAACTTCCACTGCCCTTTGCATTTTACAGAAGCCTTTCATTTTCACTCATAGAGAAAAAGGGTGGAATTTCTCACCCATTATTGTCCCTCCACCTTTGTCTGTGATTACATAACATATGTGTCACTGCTGTTGGTGAGTGGGCAGACTTGGGAATTTTCATAGTTCCAGTGGAGAAGAAAATCATACTTGTACTTGGACTGTACATTGTGGGGTAAAAGCATTCAGTGGGCTCTCAGGAAAAGCAGTTGCTGGCCTCTGCTGGATAGTGAAAACTTCACACAGTCACTGAGTTTATCTGCTGTGTACTCATATAAAACACAGTCTCCCGATGCAGAGTGGTGAACACCTTAAGAAAATAGTGATTCATCATCAGGGGCATTATCAGGAGAAACTGGAAAGCTGTCGTTTTTTTTTTCACACAAAAAAGCATCAAAGCAAAAAGCAACTAACCACATAAGTTCAAGCAGCAGATTGAAGTTGAACTTTGTGTCAGTCAACCAAAGGAGCTGACTCTTCCAGTGCTCTCATACTGACCAGATTTCCAGCATGCTAATTTGTCTTTTTCAATGAACGTATTAATTGTTTGTCAACAAGTTGTTGACAGAAAACAACCTGTTGACAATGTCGATGCAGTAAAAGACATTTCTGAATTCAGTCCAATTTGTATTCTGATTGTTATTTATGTAATGATGTCTATGAATAGGGCAATGAATTTACAACAATATACAGTATATTTTTGTTCTAGGAATGAAATAGTTTGATACATGTCTTTAAAGGTAATTGCATAAGTATCTGAAAAAATAGTTATACAGCAGCACATTATTTATAAGCTTAACCTTGTTTCGACCTCCAAATAGAGAAAGCACAGTGTTTAACATGTTTTTTTCCATGTGTGTGTGTGTGTGTGTGTGTGTTTCGGCAGCTTCCACACATGCCTCACATCAGTGAGTGTCTAATGAAAAGAAGCCTGAAGCCCACCGACTTGAGAGATATGACGCTGGGGCAGCTCCAAGTTATAGTCAACGACCTGCACTCCCAGATTGAGAGTGAGTTGACCACAAACACACACACAGTACAGTACACACACACACAAACACAGACTCACTGACCTCTACTTTCAATTGCAGAAATGAGCAAGAGAGCAAATGGGGAAAAACATGCACATGCATACTGACCCACGTTAGTCAGTTCACAGAACTGTACCAGTTAACAGTTTCCCCTGAGCATTTACTGTCACCGCACTGTACAGATCATTGATCCTGCTACTCAGGGATGAATAATCTCTCATCTAACATAAAACAGCTCCAAAAATCCCCATGAGTCCAACATCATGAGCTACTTTTAACTTGCAATACAGACTTTCCCCTCATATCTCTTTTCAGTTCTTACTATTTTCTATCAAAGCTGAAGGGACAATAGCTAAAGCATGTGATATGAGAACAACCACAACCAACGAGGTGTTGTCTGTCAATGCTTCTAATGTATTTGATTACTTTGTGAGGTCATTTTATGAACCCATAATGGGAGATTTCAGACAGTTGCACACTCTCCACAGTATATCTTGTAGATTTAATGTCCATCTATTGACGTCACTGTGATGTTTGAAGTATTTCCATATTGTAAATATGATGTGAACAAATTGAGTCTGTAGCCTTACATGATTTTTTGTACTATTCCTCATATTATCTACAACTCCAGGTCTGAATGAGGAGCTTGTACAGTTGCTGCTGATTCGGGATGAACTACACATGGAGCAAGATGCCATGCTGGTTGACATAGAGGACCTCACCAGGTGATGACGCACTTAATGGCAAACGTATTCCCTGGGTTTACCATGATCGATTTTACTCATATGGTGTATTAGAGAGACAAGAAAAACGTAATTTAAAGAATAAGATTGAAAGGAAATACTTTTGTTATTGTCAAGAAGCCTCGTGAAAAAATAGGACTAATATCGTTTGTTTCTTATCTGTTTCTCCTATCCTGTCTGTGGCTCTCGGCCTCAAGCCCAGTTGTTCCTACTGGAGATGTAAATAATAAAATATACAAATGTGTAGTTTCATTAACAAAAGAATGCGATGGGATTTCTTAAAACAGCTGGACACTGTAGTTTTTAGGAGTACTCCACCGATTCAGCATTGCACTCTTATAAAGTTGCCAGACTCATGAAGTACAGTTTTCTTTCTTATCAAAGAAATCAATGTGGCAGAAAGATATTGTATATTTTATTCCACGCATTTTTCTTCCTTGAAATGTTGTCTTGAACCACTAACAAAGGTGCAGAGCAGGGATGAGGAGTGGGCTACAGAGATCTCACTACTTTCTCCACACCACCAGAATTTTTTTTTTCATTTTCAAACTTGTAGTCTTCAAACCCTATCGATGCTGACTCAAGTGACATCACTCGAAGCTATTTATCAGAGCTACAGAACATAATAAATAACAGTATGGCTCTCTCACGTGTTTTGTTGTATAGTTTAGTGTTGAATAGTTTTTGGAAAACAGCGGAAGTAATGGCACAAACAAATTAGCTACACTAAGCTTTAGCTACACAGACAATACTTGTGACTAGGATCCATTTATTATAAACAAGAAGGCGCTCTAAAATCTATGGACAGTGAGTCTTAATCCTGGTCTTAATGAGGATATAGACTTCAAATGTTTTGTATAGGCTTCTGTCTTTTTCTTTGAGTCTGGGTCATGTGATTGCCTCCCATTAATTGTTTGTACTATATGCAGTAGGTGTGGCAAAACCTGTTTTGTTTGTTTGCTAAATGCCCTGACGAAGAACTACAGCGTTCAAAACATGTTGGCTTTTTCACTCCACTATAATAAGGCTTTTTTTTTTTAATTCCCTCCTCGTTTTTCTAAGATGTTGGAGTGCCTTTCTGTTCATCCAAGAGCACCAGACACATTTTGACTTTGGTTGAGGACACAGAGCAACCAGTTATCTTGCTCTTCTAGAGTTAATTCATTGTTGGTTTTGATCTTTTCTTTGAAAAATATCACCCCACTTATGTTCCCTTTCTCCTTTGCAGGCATGCCGAGAGCCAGCAGAAACATTTGGCTGAGAGGACCCTATCCAAATAAGATGCCCGTACCCACTCCGCCCTGCTCCCCTCTGCCAAGCTAAGCTCCCGCTCCAAACCAGACTTTTCCCCTCTGGCCATTCCACCTCTGCCCCGTGTCGATCCAAATCCTGCCCGCTTGTCCCAAGTATTTTGCTCCTTGCTGCTTCCCCTTCTCCCCATGTCGACCTTCCTGTCCACCCCACTGACTCCAGTGGTAGCAGCAGCAATGAAGAAGGCCACCCTCTTTCGTTAGCTTCTGTGGTTTTCTCCCAGCGCTGAGGACGGATGAGCACTTCCTGCTTCCTGGGAGAAAAATAAATTGATTGTGTGTTGTCATGGATTCTGTCCCCAGCTTCCTGTGCAGTGATCGGCCTTGCTTCGCTATCGTTTCTTTCTACATTCGCCACTAAATTATAACTGTCAAATGCAAAAATTGTGGGAAAAAAATTAAATAATAGTGAAAAATTTAGTAGAAAGTAAGTCATGAGAAAAAGAAACAATATTGTATAAAAAAAATTAAAAAAAACAGATGGAAACTAACTTCTTCAGACCATTTTAAGTTGGACAGTGATTTTCAAGTATTTCAAAGTCAACCTGTTTTTATTCTGCACAAATGGTAGTTTTCAACTGAGAAATGTTTATTTGAAGGTGCTAAAAGAGTGTAAAGGAAACATGCCTGCCTTGTAGTGGAGTCGTAGCTTTTGGTAATACGTTCACTCTAATTGCTCTTCAACATTTTGTGAATGTTGATTTTCTGACACGAGTCATTTTAAATGAATAAGTGTGTTAAAATCGTTTTCATCCTACTGTAATCAAAAACTTTATTTGAGGAAAGAAATGTTTATGTACAGATATGTAAAATAAAGAATAAACTTTGTTTCATATATGTTGGTTTGGTGTGCAGTAAGTTGAATTCATGTTGCTGCAAGACAACTAGATGAAGAGTTTTTGAAGAGAGCTTCCTCTTTCTAATGAACATAGGAAGTGTAATCAGCGTTCACAACTGCAGCGGGAATATAAAGCACCACCACATTACACGTAGCATGACTCATCTCCCTCTGTTTCGGTCTTGCCTCATCGTGACATTGTTTGTCTCTCACTCTCTCATCTCGGTTGTTTTTTTTTTACTGCTCTTAAAGGGACTAATTATAAATGTGGACAGCCCCTTTAAATTCATAATGAGGAATTTTTGTTGACTTATAATATACGATGAATGGTCAGTTGTGGGCCAAGGTTTAAATGCACAGAAATGATGGCTGGAAGGTTTAGTAATGAATGCAATGTTATTTTTCATGTAAATTATGATAAATGAATTTCTGGGAAACTGCCTGATCATATACTGTATTTAAAGAGTAATTTTCAGTCTTTGGTGGTCCTATGTTGAAGCAAGTGAAAGGCCAGGAAACTCCAGTTTCAGAGAGTGAACTTTCTTTTTTGTGTTAAACACAACAAGTGGATCTCAGGTCCTGTAAACTGGGACTGGAGGGTGTAAAGGGAGTATGAAGTCATGCTTTATGCATCAATAATATTTCTATTTATTCTCGTCTGAGCATTGTGCAATTCTCAAATGCTGACAAAACTATATTTCAGATTAAAAGAAAGAAAATTTGTGACCTTGGAAACAGAAGTTGGCAAAACAATCTCCGCATTATATGTGTTTCGGAGCATTCAATCATATCACATGATCTTCCTCTGCAAATTAATAAATAAGAAATGAAACGTTTTTTAGCCTCTGAGAGCAGTCATAAGCCCAGTCATAAGCCCACCGCCCACCCGCACTTGGAGAAATGACCCTCTTCTACAGTGACGTTAATCGGAGCATTGATGGATCATACTCCGTGGGTTGGACAGATATGGGACAGAGCTCGTCAGGTCCGGCAGGATCTTGCGGTATTTGTGTGAAACGTGCTGAATCAAACGATAATCATCCTGTGAATGAAACAGTGAGCAAGGGATCAAAATAAGCTGTCTGGTCCCATGATGCTGCTGACAGGACCAGATGACCATCACCATGGAGCTAATTGTCGGCACCTCAGAGACACTTCCTGCAATTCTGCACTAATAATATATTTTAGCAATCAACTCAATATATGTATTTCCTTTGGGCAGTTGCAAAAGAAGATGATCTCAATAGTTCGTATAGACCTATATGCACCCATGTGGAGTTAAAGGCTCTGCTCATCTATTAGCCAACCCCTATTCTAATTCATATCCAAACCACATACATTCAAACCCGTGAATTGTCTTGTATCTACATTTAAACTATTGCATCACAGTTTGAGTTTACTTTTTCCCCGTAGTTGGTTTCTTTCAAAATCTGAGACAAACAATGCCACTTCCTGTTTTCATACAAGCAATGTTTGCTGGAAGATTGACAACGAGGAAATTACAGATGACGTTTTAGTTTTCATTTTGCTGGCGCTCCTGCAGGACGGCGAAGGGAATCCCCCCCCGAAAAAAAAACATGCATATAAATACAATCACATATTTGAAGGCAGCAACACAGTGCTACTTATCAACCAGACTCAACCAGAGATATCTATCTGATCCGAGAGATGACAGGCTTTCATTTCTGTAAGTCAGCGTGAAACACATGCGATTTTCCCATTATGGTTTTACTGTGTTTCAGTCATGAAACTCTCGCGTGAACCCTATGGACGCATGTGTTGATGCTTGTTATTCTCTTGTCATGCAGGCTTCGCCAGCTGTGTGCTGCTGCTGACCTTGAGCTGCCGCACATCTACAGGACTCCCGGTGCGCAGGCTGAGCACAGAAAATTGCGGAGACTGTCCACTTCTCTTCAAGAACCTGCTGGTGAAAATCACAGAGCTTCTCAGCAGTGTGAGTACAATTCACAACGCCATGTTTATTTAGTTATACTGTGTTTTTATTCCTCTGTCTTTCTTATCCTCTGCCACACACCTCTGTGGTTTGTTAATAATTAAGCTTATTTTGTATTACAGGATGTTTTTTGTTATGGCATGGACGCTGATAGGATGATGGTTAGTCAAGCTGAGACAGTACTGGCCTGCGCACCCACTCTGACTCAGGTGACACTTGATGATTTCTCAGTGACATAAATTCTGAATTATCAAATGCTTTTTATCAAATCTTTACTTTTTGTGTTATGAAAATATAGATTCCAATTATTCTTTTGTGCATATTTTTACATTTTACAATAGAGGATCAAATTGTTTTTGGGCGTATTTATGGAAACATAATTTCAGCTCATAGTTTCACCTAAGCTATCACTAATTTCTATTCAGCCATGTCGTATAATTAGGTTATATAATCAAGTATATGGCCCAAAGATGTTTATGGGCACCTTGACCAGTGAAACTAACTGCTCATATTTAAAATGTTTTTGACCCCACAGAACTCAAGCTGCTTGATGCAAAGAAATTCATCTTTCAGTGAGGTATGCTATTTCTCTTTAAACGTTTTTCTTAGAATTATCAGACATACTCTTTGTTATACAAACTTATTAATAATAAGTCCAGTATCTATTTTACTTAAATAAAGCTTTACATTTGTTATTCATCTGCTATTCTACACATCAGAATTAGGATAGTTTACATTGTACACCCATTGTATCCCTCTAATTTTATTATAAAGCAGACAGATGACTGATGGGTGATTTGTCTTGTTTGAATGACAGAGTGAATGTCTGAGGAACATCAGGAAGGACTTGGCCTACTACGCTGCTGCTCTTCAGTCCTACATCGAATTCCCACTCAGAACTCTCGAGCAAGAAGTTGCACTTCTGAGTCCAACTCTGGAAATAATACAGAGCCTGGGGAAGGTATGTTTATCATGCATGTGTGGGAGGGGTAAAGACAGAATCTTCTGGGAAAGTTGCCTGATGAAATCTTCCTTGGTTTATACAGAGCTGCTCCCTGATGCTGAATGAGGAGAATGGCTCTTCAGAGGTATTTTTATATTCCTTGTTTTTGTTTGTTTCTTATTTACTCTTCATCGTTCTGTCTTTAAGAGGAAAGCCCTATTGTTTTCTTTATTTTTGTGGGTGTTCAGGTTGTTTCCCTCTTGTGTTTTCTTTTAGGAGGTTGCTGCCCAGATGTGGGGAGATGACACCTTCAGTAACAGGCAGAAGATGTGTAAGATGATGAGGGGCTTCCATGTCCGAACCATCACCATCAACCGAGCTATGGGTTACATCGCCTCAGGAGACCACAGAAAGTAAACGTCCTGCAACCTCATCACCATCATCACCATCATTCCAACCCCAATATCTCTACTACTACTTTAATACTTTAATTTATCACAACTGAACAAGCCAGAACACTATTTATTTGAGATGAACGTATTTATTACATTTATGTATTTATTTATGTATTTATTTATGTAGTTATCTACATATGTATTTATTTATGCATTTATTTATGTATTTATTTATGCATTTATTTATGTATTTATTTATACATTTATTTATTTATTTTAATGGCCTGTGGTGTTATTTATTGTTCTTTAAAATTAAGTCTTTTTTTGTATGAAGTGCTGAAGTTGAAGTGATATTTGTATGGAACTGGGTGCAAATGAAAATGGAATTGATGACACATAAATTAAGTAAAAAGAAACTTTCTCTTGTTTTTTTTCAAGTCAGTCAACAGTTAGTTACAATTGCTCCACAATTCTTTGGCGAGACTCAATAGAAACAATTGCAAAAAAAGAACGAACTGGATTTTTGGTGGTAAGTTGTTTAAGGAAGTAACCCCATTCTCTGAATGTAAACATTACTGCATCATATCAGCATGGAAGACCCTAAAATATTCAACAATCCAGATGCATTTCCTGCAGCTTTTACCAAATAGTGTTGAGATGTCTGGAAACAGCGTCATTTGAAAATAGGTAAACCAGAAATAAAGCTGCGACTAATGAAAGGATGCTGACAACAATTAACTGAAATGTTTCCACAGGCAGCTTACAGTACTTTGTTTTATTGCACAAACAGGAAAAGTTCAATTCAGCCCTGTATCTAAATGCTTGTGGATAGTTTTTGTTCCCCAATGTACACTTTTATAACACACACACAAACAACATGTTTACCTAAGATGCATGTTCCAGTCACAGGTGGGCAGTAATGGATTCATAATTCAAGTTAAATATAATACACATTATTAGGGACTTTTGCAACTCCATTTAGTTTTACAGGTTCAGAGTTGTCAAATAAAACACAGATATAAACATACAAAAGCATACAAAAATGGATCAGAGTTTTGAAATAGTTAAACGATATGTACAGGACAAACAATACAAAAAAAAAAGGTATGAGACACGAAATACCTCAGTACTTCAGTCCGTAATGCTTTATAAAGTCACATGCACATGATATAATACCTTACTGTTATCATTGTCCTTCTGAGCATGTTAGCATGCTGATGTTCGCATTTACCTCAAAGCACTGCTGTGCCTAAATACAGCCTCACAGAGGTACTGGCATGGCTGTAGACTTGTTCGTTCAAAATTATGGCCGGTTGTCATTTGACAAGAAATGAATCAACTTATAATTTGAGGTTATGGTTATGTATTATGGTTATCTCTTGGATGGTGTTCATATGCATGTCTGAGGTTTATTGCCTTGCAGTGTTTGATGGACCAGTCATCCAGTTCCTCCACACTTTTCCACAGCTGGTACTCTGTGGCCTATCCCACTGGTCAAAGCAGATGTAACTTTGCCTCCCTTTCCTCCGCATGGGGTTGAAGACAAAAAGCCTCCAGGTGTATAACCCTCGAACTGAAAGAAAGCTAAGTTCTTGGGAAAAAAAGAGATATTTGGTCTGAGTATAGCCCCTCAACTGTCACCACTAAGCAGCAAATTACTGGGGTGCGCAAACAGGGCGGTTAGTTCACACACTCTTAGCTGCAGTCTGTGCGAGCAGCAAAGCTGTCTTGAAGCACAGCGCCTTCAGACAGTAGCACTCAGAGGCTAAAAGGGACCCTTCAATAATTGTGCCAATGCGTCGTAAATCACGTCAGGTGATGCAGCTCAGCCAATCAAATATGAGTATTCTGACACATTTACTGACTCGAGTGAGATGTTCACATACCATGACAACATACGAGGAAAGAGAAACAAGACTACGACAGTTACGTCAGTCACAGTAGTTATTTCACATGACCTTCTCCAAATAGAGAAAAGTGGTTAGCGAGACCAGAGTGTTGAACAAGACTAGACATTCTTATAGGTTAATTCTTTCCACTGGCAATTTAAAACCAGTGTGTCACATGTTCAGAGACCTCACCAATTATTCAAAGCGGTAATGCGAAGCGATTACTCATTTTACTTGAAATGAGGGCTGCATTAAAGAATTCATTCAGGTGTGAAGTGATGCTCACTAATTTCTCTTGTTTGAAGATGAGAAAAATATAATAATGATTTTTGATTGACATCACTTCACACCTGAATGAACTGAATTTAAAGCTGCGGGGCAATTCAGTGAAATTCATTTTTCTAAAATGAATTTCTTTACTTTTAGATGCACATTTTTCAAAAGCTTTCTGTTATGTAATTTATTCTTTAATGCAGCCCTAATTTCAAGTAAAATGAGTAATCGCTTCGCATTACCGCTTTGAATAATTGGTGAGGTCTCTGAACATGTGACACACTGGTTTTAAATTGCCAGTGGAAAGAATTAACCTATAAGAATGTCTATTCTTGTTCAAGACTCTGGTCTCCCTAACCACTTTTCTCTATTTGGAGAACGTTTTGTTTCTCTTTCCTGGTATGTTGTCACGGTATGTGAACAACAGGCTCGTTCGAGTTGAACTGCGCCTCGCCTAGAAAGCAGACGAGAGCAGGCGGACGTAGAAAGGGGCGTTGACAAAAAACTGCGTTCAAGTCGGACCGTTTTCAGCCGCGTGCTTCTTCTTCTTCTTTCTTTTGCTTTTTTTGGCGGTTGGCAAACAGCTTTCGGGTGCATTACCGCCTCCCACTAATCTGGAGTGTGGACTAAGGACTCTAATACCACAACCAAACGAAAAGAAATACATATACATATATACACATATACATATGTGTGTAAATGAATAAAGATATGTATATAAATATATATATATACATATAGAAAAAATAAAATAATAAAATAGAAAAAATTAATAATAATACATTTCTTTCTCAAATTCTATTCATTAGGGTTGTTGACTCTAAATATTCCAGAAAAAGTTTCCAACATTTGTCACTAAAGCTTTTCTTTAGTACATTAATGATATTTTCCTCTCCAATCTCTCTTAGACCTTTTTTCAAAACTTCTCTCGCTGACTCGTACCTCTGACAGGACAATAAAACATGGTCCACGGTTTCTTCTTCTCCACAAAATTCACACTTTTCATTATTATGCTTTCTAATAACATCGAGGGAACTGTTCAGACCAGTATGGCCATTCCTTGGTCTTGTCACAATTGGCTTCTCTTTTCTAGTTTGTCCACTAGATCCTGCCCTCCCAACCAATGGTTTATTGTTAAACAGATATCTTCCTTTACTCCCTTTATTCGTTCTGACATATCTTTTTGATTTGTCGCTTAATCACCACTTTAGCTTCTGACTTACTTATATTTACATTAACGTTATTTCTCCCACTCTTCAAAGCCCTTTTTGCTGCTTTATCTGTCTTCTCATTGCCATCGACTCCAACATGAACCCACACTAAATGAACCGCTATCCGCATTTGATGGATTCTTAAAAATGATTGTAGAGTTTCAAACAGTAAATCCTCTCTGCTTCTGGAGTGGCAACATTTCAAACTTGTTAGCACTGCACATGAGTCTGATGCAATCACCTCTTTCTCTGGCCTGACGTCCTCTACCCACTGTAAGGCAATAACTATATGGCCATCATCTCACATGCAAACACAGATACATCATCACTAAGTCTCTTCCCACACTCATAATGGAATTCTGGGATTACTGCTGCTGCTGCTGTTCTACCAGTTTTAGGGTCTTTAGATCCATAAATCTGTATTTAATTGTGGTAACTGATGTATGACTTGAAGATCTTACAGTTTCCCCAACGTTCATCTCTCATCAGTTCAAGGAGGCCAAGATCAATTCCAGGCTGTGGCAGTAACCAAAGAGGAACAGCTGGACCACAGCTGGAGAATAACTCCTAAAACCTAATTCACTAGCCTTCTTCTGAACAACCCAACCAAAGCTCTTTGTTGGCCTGTTGTCATGTTCCCAGCATGGCTCAATTGCACTTATTGTTGGATGGTTGTTATGTCCTTGTAAACTGACCCAATATGTCATCATGACCTGGATTCTTCTCAGCTCCAATGGCATTTCCCCCATTTCTACCTGCAATGCCGGCACAGATGTTGTTTTAAAGACCCCACTACATATTCTTGACACTTGTATTACATCCAGTTTTCCCAACAAGGTTTTAGACGCCGACCTATATTCCACACAGCCATAGTCTAGAACTGATCTTGGCTAAGTGGAGCGCAGGGCCGTCTTTCAATCAGAGGAGCGGCGGTTCGATCCCTGGCTCCGCTAGGAGCATGTCGATGTGTCCTTGAGCAAGACACTTAACTGTAAAATTGCTGGTCTTTAAGTTTGGATGTCTTTTTATATATTTAACTATGTTATTATTATAATTGAAGATATAAGATTTGGCATATTTTAGTTCTTGGATGTCATATTTATTTAACATTTATATAAATAAACATATGTGAAGATAGCGTCATTTCTAAATCATACAACTGTAAATTTAAGAAATTTAAAAACTGAACCAACTGTCCAAACATCACAGCTACATAAACAGGCTACACACGGAGGAAAAGCAACGCTGCAAGTTTCCGTCAGTGACAATTGTGCTTTTCTTTTAATGTTTTGTGATGCTTCACAATCATTAATCGATGGACACATTCAGTGCTCTGACTGAGAACATGTTGACATCAAGTAGGATGTAGGCTTTCTCAATAAATATCTTTATTTACAGATTCTAAATAAATAACCTTATATATTATTATTGTTATTGGACAAAATGAGACTAATAGCCAACAATCTAGCGTTAAGTATTACAATTAGACAGAAAATTAGGATTTAAATTTTTTTATACTATATTTATCCTGTTAATTAAGGATAATTTTGTCTCTGCATTTGACCCATCCCTATATATGGGGAGCAGTGGGCTGTCTTTGACATGCGACACGTCAAAGGCCATGGTTCGAACAACCAACCTTGTGGTCACCAGACAGACCTCTTAACAAAGTGAGCCACGATCGCCCACCTTTTCCACTAAAGAAAATCTAAGAGCCAATCAGCTCTTTGATCCGAAGACACCAAGAAGTTTCCCATCATGCCCTGGGGTCATGCAGTCGGTGGAGAGCAATTCTGCATCGCCTGGCTCTGAAATCTGCGGCCGCCTCGCTCACGTGAGATCATCGTTACGCACGTTTTCATGACGTCAGAGCAAGTCGGACGCAAATCTACCCAGCATGCATTGTGCGCCGATCGCCGGTGATCGATTCTGCGCACGCCTGGCTCAAGTCGAACGAGGACACATGTCAGAATACCCATATTTGATTGGCTGAGCTGCATCACATGATGTGATTTACAACGCATTGGTCGGCGTGTTTCTTGCACCTCTGAACAAGTGCCATAAAGGCTGAAAAAGGTGCGCCGGTTAAAATAGAAGCACTCCGTCAACATAAAATCGGTTTTTGGTCCTGGGTCCGGATACAACTGCGTCTGGGTCCGGATCCGGACCGCGGTCCGCCTATTAGTGACCCCTGGTATAGTATGTCACAAAAGTCATAAACAGTATAAATGTAGAATATTGAAAAAATTAGATAATAGAAAATAATATAAAAGGTTGAAAACAATTAATTGTATTTTGTGCCCCAAAAAGTGGTTAAAAAGTCATAGTACAATATGTCACAAAAGTTATAGTATAGTTTGTTGAAAAAAGTCATAAAAAGTGTAAAATTAGAAAAAAAAGTGAGTGAAGAGTGAATGTCTGAGGAACATCACGAGGGTCTGCTGCTCTTCAGTCCTACCTCAAGTTCTCGTTGTGAACAGGAAGTAAACATCCTGCAACCTCATCACCATCATTTCTAAGTAATACCACAATATTTCCACATTAATCACAAGCCTTTCTGTTCATTCACTACGGTCATTTACAACTACTGACTAAGTAGTCTGTACACTGCACCTGCTGCAGAAAACAGCTTATTTGTTTACTTATTTATATTTATATTTATTATTTGTTTACTTATTTATTAATTTTCATGGCCTGTGAGATTATTGATGATTTATTGTTATTTAAAATTAAGTATTTTTTGATTCGAAGTGCTGAAGTGAAAGTGATATATGTATGGAAATGGGTGCAAATGAAAATGGAACTGACAGCACTTAAATTAAGTAAAAAGATTTATTCAGTCGACATTTGCTTTAATATTTACAATTACTCCACAATTCTTTGGAGAGACTCAAACATGATAGAAACAACTGCAAAAAAGAACAGACTCGATTTTTGGTGGTAAGTTGTCTAAGGAAGTAACCCCATTCTCTGAATGTAAACATTACTGCATCATATCAGCATGGAAGACCCTAAAATATTCAACAATCCAGATGCATTTCCTGCAGCTTTTACCAAATAGTGTTGAGATGTCTGGAAACAGCGTCATTTGAAAATAGGCAAAAGAGAAATAAAGCTTTGACTAATTTAGGGATGCTGAGAAAAATGAACTGAAATGTTTCCACAGGCAGCTGACAGTATAGTTTGTTTTTGTGAAATAAGCCTTAAAAACATGACTTGTAAAGCTATATAAATGTTGCCAGGCTGCAGAACACAGGTAGAAAAGTTCAATTCAACTGTGCATCCGAATGCTTGTGATTATTTTTTTTTTAACATTTATACTTAACAAGATGTGTGTTCCAGTCACAGCACAGTAAACGATTCATAATTCAAGTTAAAATAAACATAATTAAGGACGTCTTGCAACTCCATTTAGTACAGGTTCAGAGTTTTCAAATAAAACACAGACAGACATAAAACATAAAAAAACGACTTTAAAAAAATAGATCACAGGTTTGAAATAGTTGGTAAAAAAAAAGATATGTACAGGACGAATATAAAAACGTATGAAACACAAAATAGCTAAGTACTTCAGTCCGTCACGCTGTGGACAGTCACATGCACATGAAATCCCACAAACAAAAGTGAAACGATTAGATACACCGTTTGGATTTTCCAGGTTTTTTTGCAGTATCAACACTGCATCACCTACATATACATTATGTTTCTGGCTATATAATTAGCTACTATATACCTCAATGACCTCGACCTCTTTTGGTCATTTTTTAAACTACTAATGCTAAGCATCAAATTCTGGCTATACAAGGGAAGCTTCAGGTGCAGCTTTTCAATTCTGTATTACAGAATCAAAGGACTACATTTTCAACAAAATATGCCCATCGAAGTTAAGAAAGTGTCCCTCTTCATGAAATGCGGCAATACAAAAACCCATCAATCAGTTAAATTTCCAGAAAATATTCAAAAGAGAAACACAAACTTGGAAGAACTAATGTTTTGTCTGCTTTGTTGTATTCCTGAGGTTTTTCTTCCTGATGATGGAGCAAAAAAAATTCAACAGTCCATTTGAGTCAAATCTCTTTCACTTAGCTGCTCGATTGTTCACCATGTCTGAAAAAAAACAAGAAAAACAAAAACATTAACACACAATTAAAGTGGCATGAGTTATGAAAGAGGGCGGGGCTAAAATGCAGAGGGTGAGGATAACAGACACCAATGAAACAGGAACTCTTTGCTGAGTGCAATGATGACTTCCAACAATGTTTTGGGCAGATTGCACAATGTGTGCTGAAGATCTAACTATCTGTTTTATGGCAAAAAACAACAACTTGCTTTTTCGCTGCTACACCACCAGCGTTGCATGCAAACTCAAGATTTTGACAACCTTTCATCAAATTACAGTATACCTCCAAGAGGCTTTTTTTGTACGTCCCCACATTGTACATCTGCCTACCAAATTTTCATACATGTAGGTGAAGCTTGAGTTGATCAACTTTGTAGGGGGCGCACTTGAGCCATTTTCCCACATCCAAACTCGAGACCCTTAAGTATCTGCGCTATGTGATCCTGAATCATTCCTGCCGACACATGATGGATGTAGCAGTGCAGTGCCCAGGATTTACTAAGAGGTGATGAAACGTGTCAAAGCTCCGCTCCCCCTGCAGAGAGAGTAGCCCTGACGTGCGGCGTTAGACGTCTAGACCGCCGAGTCGAATTTTACGATTGTGTCACACCACATCACGACACCACTGCACGAGAGCCGTACAGGCAGTAACATCGCGGAGGTACTGAAAACTGAACCTGGACTAATGGGACATAAATGGGAAGGACTGTGAACTGACAACTTTACTTAACGCACTTTATTTCATGATGTTTATATATCATATCGTGACACGTGTCGTATCGTGAGGTGCTTGTCAATACACAGCCCTAGTGTTTATGGTTATCCATCATTATTACATCTATTGTTAATATGCATGTCTGCAGTTAATTACCTTTCAGTGTTTGATGGACCTCAGTTGGCAAGTCATCCAGTTCCTTCAAACATTTCCCCAGCTGGTACGCCGTGGCCTCTCCCGGCAGCCTTCTGCTCTTCCACAGCACCAGCATCTTCAGCTTCTGCATGGTCACATCTTTCTCTGCTGCCTGGATGTCATCAAGCTCGCTGGAATTCAAGTCTAAAATGATGGCCACCTGCTTCCACTCCTTCCCGAGCCGCTTGGCCAATTGCAGTAGCTGCTTCTCTGACATGTCCTGGTCCAGAGTCATCCCTGTTTTCACTCCATCTAGAAAAGGACGCACAACACGTAGAGGTGCTTTATTTCAGAATCATTTTAGACAGACAGGTGCATCTGGAAAATAGATCAGGGGTGGACTGGTTTCTTTTGACTTGACTTGGGGCAAAACTAAGTGTGTGCCTGAAGTTCTTCTCAAATCAGTAATTAGTAAAAGACTAGAAAAGTCACCTGACTCTTCCTGAAACCGAGGCCTTTTACAGGCCGTCTCTTCCTCTGAGGGGCTGCTGCTCCTCTGTCTGCCTATGAGAAAGATATATGGATGGTATACCTGTAAAAGCTGAAAGCATGTTGTGATGAAAAATCAAATCTAAAAACAAGAAAAACAAAAGGCTTACTGTTTGTCCTTTTCCTTGGCTTCTTTTCTGTGTTATCCACACAGTCACCTAGTAGTGTAGAGTAGAAAGACAAAGATCACCACTCTGGAGTAGAAACCAAAGTACACTCAAACTTGATAACACAAAAACATGCGGAGAAACCTTTTGGTTTCTTTGCAGAAAAAAATCTGCAAATGTTTCTTGTTACTATCAGCTGTCCGATAAACATAGAAATATGTGTGAAAAAGCGTTGACATCTGATTTTAACTTCAACTCCTGGATCTGTTTTTTCACCTGCAAATCAAGAGACATGTTCAGTGTGAGACTAAATGCAGTGGTACCTTCTCTGATGGTGCCGGACCATACGGTCTCCTCAGTGTTAATCTCTATGAGAGACAATTTAAAGGGAGGAGGCTGCTCAAAGAAAGCTTCAAAGTAGCCTTTCATCTTGATCACAGCAAGGGTGAATTTCAAATCCTGCACAAAGACACATAAATATATATATAATTAAAGTTACAGTACAGAACTTTTAAATGGTCTCAATGTACATCAGCAAGAAGATTGGCTATTTCTATGTAGTTATTCTTAATGCTTGTCATCGGTGCCACCAGTCTGGATTCCGCGATGAAATCATATACGTTCACCAGAAACTCCTTCAGCTCAGACTCCAACACTGAAAACATGCTGCTGGAGGCCCAGGCCGTATTGCTGGGCCCGCTGGAGGGAAGGCAGGCACGGGAGAACTAGAACCATGACGGCGCGGGGAAGACTGTCAGACCCTGCAGCAGTAAAATTCTCTTTTTCTACAGGTAATCTGGAGCTTTGTTTTATCCACGGGGACAGCCAAATTCAACACAACAAGAATGTTCCTCGTAGTAGCTTTAATCATAATTTAAAGGCACAGTGTGTAAGATTTGGTGGCATGAACTGGTGTGTTGCAGATTGCAACCAACTAAATACCTGTCTGCTCACCCCTCCCTAGAACTACGGTGGCCTTCAGGTTTGGAGAGTTATCTTTATCATTTTAATACAACTAGAAGATACTATTATCAATACTCTGCTTGTCTACATGACTAGATCATTGCTTTTAAAAAAATACATAGAATTTTAAAAACAAATAAATTCAGAACAGCATTAGAATTTATATTTAAAATATATCAAATATTGTTTATAGAGCAGCAACAGTTATGTTTATAACAACAAAGTCAACATATAAAATCATTAATATCTCACTGGAAACAAATGTAAAATGTTGACAAAATAAATGACACTTCCGAGTGAAGTTTATAAAGAATGAAGAACCTCCTGTCTTCTGTCCTCTTGGCTGCTTTGTCTTAGCGAGCAGAAACGTTTACCCCCAAATAAAATAAAACAGTTGCTGACAGTCCAATGGGATCCCTTAGTCTATTTAAAAAGATATTTGTGAGTATTATATGACTTACGATACTATGACTTTTTATGACATACTATACTATGATTGTTTTTAGTTGACCTACTACTGTATGACTTTTTTATAGAATACTAAACTATGATTTTATTTCATACTATACTAGGCCTTTTTATGACACAGTACACTGACTTTTTTGACACTATGCAATCACTTTTTGAGTATAATTCATTTGCCAAAAAAAGAGACAAACTGAACTGATTTTTTAGATTTTCTTTAGAATCATGAATTTTTGGCCTTGATAATCGTGTGGCGGGAATCTGACATTGTGACCGCCCTACACACACGTACAAACCAAGAGACGCACCTGAGGTTTGATCTCGCCCTCTGGCTCGCACAGGAGACGATACGTCCCCTCATCCAGTTTACATGTGGGAGGCTTCTCTATCCGAATGTAGCGATTCTTGTAGCCCCGCACCTGTTTGCCAATATCCTGGTTTACATAGGGACAGCAGGAAGAAAGAGGCAGAAGACAAGTCACACCTTTGTAGTGTCCTGAGCACGCTGAATGGCGATTACCTTCATTGAAATACATTGCCCATAGTCAGAGTAGAAAACCTGAAGGCGTCTCAGGAGAAAAAGACCTGGTCTGTGTGCATACTCATGGAAAACAATTGCTATATTTTAAGGAACTGTCATTTGTGCCTTATGATAAATTAAGTATAATTATCACCTGCACCCTCCCAAACACACATGCTCACACACACAACCACAAACCCACCTCCAGAGTTTCCTCAGCAGTACAGTGTTAGAAAATTACAAATAAATGATAATATCGTCATGTAGCTGTCAGAATTACGCGGTGCACTTCCAGTAATACAGTACACACACCAGTGGCATCGATACCTTTCCAATACATACCACTGACATTTTTTATCTGGAAATATCTGCAAAATATATCAGAAGGCGTTTTTTTCAGATTGTCAATGATCAGCCAGATGCTGAAACTACTGCTTTTCAACAATATAATATTGTATATCGTTGTATTTTTTCCATTGCAGTATGCTGCATAACCTCATCCAGAATCTGGAAATTTGGTGCCTATTCTATAACTTTTTACAGCATCAGAGGCATTGCAGTTATAAAACTAAACAAGAAGTGAAAGTTAGGTTTTGCTTTGACTATGTTCTCCTTTTCCCACACATCATTTATGGCATTTTGCTGGAGTTTTATACATTGAGCAGTTGTCCTGATTGAAAGTCACGATTGATTTAGGGAGACAATGGTTTCATGAATGGAATATTTCTTTGTATTGTTTTTCTTCGGGTTGGTCTGTATTTCCTTCCTTTGGGCTCTTGCACATCAAGGAAAACATTCCAAAATGAAAACACTAAATATGCAGTCATGAACAGCTTGTTTTCCTGACAAACAAAACTTGGCTCACTTCAAGTCTTAAAAGGTGGATCTTTAACAGATTTTATTTCAATATGAGTAAGAAATTGTAATTCAGTGTGAAATATATTACCGTCGTAAGAAGCTTGGCATAAGATGTGCATTTAATAAAAAAGTGTGTGTGTGTGTGTGTATTCACACATTGAGATCAACCTTGTGTGCACTTTATCCAGTACTGTAACTGCAGTATTTCATAACCTCACAGGAAAAGATACAGAAATGTCACCGAGTAGAATGATGGCACAAGCAACTCTCGAGGTTAACCAAGACCCTTTTTTCAATCATAACCCCGACATGTAAAATTCCCCGACATGTAAAATTCCCCAACATGGATTAAAATGCCTGTTTGAAAGTGGAATCCTGCAACTACAGGACATTTCGGAGAATTTGAACACATTTCCAAAACAGCTGTCATATTCCTATCAGTTTTTAAAATGCACCTAAAGACCGATGACAGCCTCGACAGTGCTGCACTCGTGAAGTGAGGAGAAGGAAAACTGCCAATCATCTGTTGTAGAGAAGAGATTAATTCAGAGCCACATGCAGTATTCAACAACGCTCACCTTGATGTCAGATGAGCTGTTGGTGGCCAGGTAGATGTGGAAGCTGTAGTTGTTGTTGTTGTTGTCACTGCACAGCTGCTTGTAGACCAGGACCACGCCGTGGTGCTCTACAGATTGGCTGGTCTGAATGATGGGACCCACGGGTGAAAGGGACGTCACATTCCACTTAACGTGGCTACCCGAGTGGTCCACTGTCGGCTCGATGAGTGAACGGTTGTCCTTTATGTGCAGGACACTGAATGTCATCTCATTTTCTGGATCTGTGTGACGATAATAAGGGAAAAGAAGATTTTATGTGTCGCCTAGAGCAGCTTTAAATCATTCATAAAAGATTATGATATGCACTAAAATTAACTATGTTGTGTAAAGATTTTAAGATGGGTCATAATTAATCAAGAATCGCACCTTTGCTTTTAAGAGAACCTCCAGACAACATCTTTAATGGTGATATTGAATGTTCATAACATTTTCTTAAGGTCCACGGATTCCCCGCAGGAGGCGGAGACCATAATTATGAATTATATATTGAACACAGGAGACATGCAAGAGCGTGACAGCCCTGATATTCATTCTCACCGGCAAGGCAGATGGAGTGAGGGAACTGAATGGACGTGAGGACAGAAGCGTCCTTATTGACTGTGTCCACGTTAAAGATGGGTCCAGCAAATTTCCAGGAGTCCCGGAGGAAGCCACCAAACTTGGACCAGGACAAGACTGAGTACCGCACTAGGACCGGCTCCGATGCTTCAAACACCAGGCCAGTGACTGAACACTGGTATGTGCCCTCCCCTTCAAGCTGCACCCTAAAACACACACAGAGTCAGTGACGCTGTACATATAGCATCAATATAAATGTGCACAGGCCAGATGAGTGTCAGAGACGCACTGTCGCACTCACTGTAATCGTCCCTTAGAGATCCTCCTGGGGGTAACAAGCTCATTGCCGTGGCTCTGTTAATTAAACAAACCAACACAGTTTGTCTCTTTGTTTGGACAATTATAAAATCATGGTAAACAAATCCGAAGAAAGTCAAGTATGATGTAGTATAATTACAAATAAAAGTACAAATACATTTTTTCCAATGGTTTCTGAGCTCACCTGCTGGATGGCTTTGCATTTTTCACAGCATATTATGAACTGCCTCTCATTTGTCAGGACGTCTGAGAAAAAAAACGTGATGTTATTTACAGGATATGTGACACAATCTCCAGAACATTCGTTGTGCTGTAACATGCGTTATGATCTGCTTACCCTTCCCATTGGAAAAATCTGCTTTGCATCCAGAGACTGAATCTAGAGGGTGAAATAATAGTAATGAGATCTTAATATTTTGTAGTGTCGCACCCTTTTTAGACTCCTCTGCATCAGCCGCTTCATTTTCTGCACAGAACATAAAGGAGATAAAAATGTATCCCCATTCACTCTTTATCTTGTAAAATCCTTGGGTGACAAACATTTTTCATGGATTGATTATACGGTGTTGGTTCTTACCTTCCTCTCCTCCATCCTTCTCAGCACAGCCTTCTGCTGAAAGTCAAAATACGGGACAGAAGGTTGAGAAACAGGGAAATGAAAGGAATATGATCAGGCACACATACACAAGGCACAAGGTACACATACATACCCATAAAGACTACATGCATGCATGTTGCCATGAATTAGGGAGCAAACTCACGTGCACACATAAACATATGGAACAGATGTAAAATGATTGTAATGTGATGTAAATATGAAAGTTTTATTTAATTATGTCACATCTTTTTTAAGCAGAGAAGCCTAACCAGGGACAGGAGTCACAAATTAGCCATGGTTTGAAATCCCACACCAACACATTTGTACCATGTTATTGTCAGCTGTTACTATGTTTTTCCCATCATCCCGGACAAAAAAAATGTGTAAATACATTTAAAAAATGATTTGACATTTTGAAAAATAACGCTTATTCACTTTCTTGCTGAGATGGATGTGAAGACCAGCACTCTAATGTCTGTCTGGTGAATATGAAGCTACCACCTGAGCAGAGCTATCTGTCTCCTGGCTGCAGTTTCATATTTAACATACAGACATGAGCGTGATATAAGTGATTGAGCAAATTTCACAAAAACCTTCCGTTAAGGTAGTTCAAAGTGTGTCTCTCACCAGAATCCTCCTCCTCCTCCTCTTCATCTTCCTCCTCCGAGCTCTCTTCAGCGGATGTCCCGGTGTTTTCTGTTTGATGAATCAATTTGTAAAGGACATAGCAATGAGCTGACAATTTTGCACTGAATTTCCAATGTATGCTCGATTCATGCCGCAAAGGTTAAATGTGAAGAGAAAAAAAAACACTTTGTATATAAAAAAAGGAATTAAATGTCAGATTAAATGAGGTTTTCTGCAGATGAACATGTTTTGGTATGAGTTGTGGGAAAAACAAATGAGTTAAACTGTTGTGGTGTGATATTTGTGCTTACCTGAGCTGCTGTCACTTTCTGTCAGGTTATCTGTAACAGATTAGTAATTGTTTTGAGGTTAGTGCTGTTTGGTCTGTAAAAGCTGATGCAATGATGTCAAAATGTGATGAAAAGTCATTGTATATCCCATCTTATTGGTAATTACTATTACTACATCATTCTCAAAATGTCTTGTTAACCATATCATCATCACCACTTTTAAAGTTTTGCTAGCATCATAAACATCCTCATCATTCTGTCGTTATTACATTGCTCAGCAGTAAAGTGTCTCGTGTCAATTTCACCTGAACAGGAAACATAACTCTGCAGTAAAAACAGAAACAAACAACACCCAATAATATGTAACGCCACTAGCCATATTCTACGATCTAATATAGTACTGTAAAACTGTTTTGTAAATATATTCTGCATCTTTACCGTCTCACGCAGAGGAAACCTCGGGTGCGGCTACATGCCCTGTTGCTAAACTCAACACTCACAACATATAAACTGTCCTTACATAAAGGAGATAATAATAGATAGACTGAAGTGTGAGAAATGTGTAAAGAGTTTTACATTTTGTCACTGGGGCTCTTCTTTTAACAGGCGCGGCCCCAGTGAGAGACCTCTACTTGCAGTTTACTTTGTTTTTTCATCCATATTACTCGTCAAAAAAGCCTCTCAGCATGTCTGACTTACACCCCCTGCTTTTACATATGCATCACTCCTTAGCAGCTGAACGCTGGCACCCTGTGAAGAAGCCAGTGATAAGTGCCATACATTAACATTCTGGCACATTCATACAGATGGGTCCAGAGGAGCTGCTGCTTCTTCTCTTCCCAGCAGCAGTGAATGTCCATGGACCGGGCCATCTGGCTGAGTGCCTGGCTGGCTAATGGATGGAGCCCATCCTCTCTGGCCCACAGAGTTTTATCTTAGACTAACAAGCAGATTCTGCCATCACTGCTCCACTCACAACACCTCCCTCATCAATCTCTCTCTCCTCCGCTAAGCCCGATCTGTCTGCTTCACCTCTCTCTGCACTCTCCCGCCTCCATTTCTCTCTGCTTGTCCTCATATGCCTCCTATGGCCAATCTCTTTCTCTGCCGCTGCTGTCTCATCTGAGCCAGCAGGCATCCCTCTTCACTCTGGCATGGCCGCTTCCCTTCATCAGACTGACAAACAAGGTGGAGATAAAACACCCGCACAGATACACATGCATGTCCAAACACACAAACACACACACACTTGTTTACGGCCTCAAAGGTTTGGATAGTTTCATGGGTATTGCCTGCCATCTGCTGGTCTAAAAAAGAATGTTAAAATAGCACAACCAAGGGCATAAAAAAGGTGTGTGTGATTAAAACAATTAAGTTAAATTCATTAAGACACAGAGGGCCACCGACATAATGCTAAGCACCACATGCATTTCTTGGCTCGTGTTAAGTTAGATAAAAATTATGCAAGTTTTAAAAATAGAGCAGTCATATTGGATCGGTAATATGTATTGAGTTGGGGTATTATAAACAGTATCAGGAGAGAAAAAGTCTATTATTACCAGGTCGATTTTATCCAATTGAATTTGAATATTCTTTTTGACGCCTGAAGAGATAAAAACTTGATAAATTTGGTAACTCACAGGCTAAAAAAGGCAAACGTTAGTGATAAGGAAAACATTTTGTGTATTGGTGTGCAGTATTAAAAATAGCAAATGCAAAACTAGGGACATAAGTGATCATATATGACTGTGCATAAGTCCTGCGGCCCTTTAAGGCAAATTATATTGAAATCAGGGAGGCCAAACTGTCAGACGAGAGAAAGGTGGGAAGGGTTAAAGAAAAGAAGGACAACAAAAGCAGTGACGAATAATAGTTGGGGATGCACGCCTTTTAAAAAGAAGCCAGAGGACAGACATAGCTGTAAACAAAACATGAAGCCCTACGTGTGCTCTGTGACAAAGTGAAGTGAGATAGAGAAGAGTGAGAGGGAGGGAAAGAATGAAAATGGGTCGATGTTTACCTTTGTTTTCAAGTGCAGGGATATCTCCGTCTCTGTGGGGCACAGGAGATAACAGTCAGACCACTTCAAATTACACTCATGACAGGGACGTCTGGGAGGTGTGATGACAAGTACGGGGCGGTTTAGAGGTTGAAAGTGCCTTGCATGCTCTTGTAGTTCACCACTTCTGCTTTCGAATAGGAACACAGGCAGTCGATTGCAGAAAAACAGGAAATGTGTACAGATGGCCTGCATCTCACTTTTTCACACATCTGACACCAACCCAATCCTGTTGAATTCAACTTTCCACCCAAACCCAAGGGCAGTGTAAATAGCACAGGAAGTCAGGCATGGAAAGATACTGGCGGGTTCATTTGCCATTAAACTAAACTGTTTTGGACACTTTTTCATATTTCATAACTCAGACACAACAAGGGGATTGGATGGGTTATATTCAATGTATTCCTTTGTGTAATACCAGTGGTGTCATATTGTGATGATAGGATCATATGGTTGTTCAATAATTCCAAGCACATTGTAATTAAAAACTAACAAAATTGGTAATTGAAAGTTTTGTTATGCACACGTGAAAGCATGTAAAGACTTTGGACACATTTTATTGCATGCAATTTTGCAAACATCTGCCATATCTGTATTCATAAATCGTATCAACAACGTGACATTAAATGGACTTGTACCCGTACAGCGCTTTTCTAGTCCTATGACCACTCAAAGCGCTTCAACACTAATTTCAACCACATCACCCAGCCCTGCACAGCAGACATCAATACCAGTTCCTCCTGAATATTTAGCTCTCGAAATCTTTTTGACATGAGCTCGACTATCCAGGAAGGTAGTATATCAAACAAACAGTGAGCCAAGTCCAAGTGCAATGGTTCAGATGGTGTTTCTGAACTGGTGCAACCTGTTGACGCAGTCTGAGCTTCAACAAGACGCAACACACCTGAGATCCGCCGGTGGGGAAAAGACAGAGAGCCAACCCGACAAGAGCAACGAGTTCACCACCAGCAGGCGTAAAAAAGTAGGTCATATATTGCCCCGTGTGTGTCCCTGTTTCACTCCCTCAGTTGTATAAATACAGAACTGGGTGATCATAAGTAAAATGATGCATCAAGAGATTCGGGTTATTAACGCTGACCAAAGTGTGGTCTTTTATTTGCCGTCTGTTAATCCTGATAAGGCCCAGTGGTTTGCTTCGTTGTTAAACATCTGTCCAGGAAAGACTGTTTTCTCCTCTTCAAGGTCAACTCGCTCTGCCAAACAGTCAGTCGCACCTCAACAACACAGAGGCACATTAGTTGCCACGGTAATATCTCTTCCTCTGAGCAAGGTTTGCATTTTCGTCATTCAAATGTTTACAGACAATGAACAAACCGGGTGCATGACTTCTGAGGCTTTCTCCGCTCTCGCTTGTTTCTATCTTCCTCCCACAACATATGAGAACAGAATCCTGCGTGAGGGCGTCGGCCTGTGTCTGGACGAAAGATAAAAGACACAACCTTTACAACACGCCTCCTACAACCTCCCATGAACACAATGCAAAGAGACAAACGTAGATAAACGAGCGTCAGTTGGCCCGTATCTATTCCACAGGAGTACAAAAAAGAAACTCTTTAATCATTAACATTAATATTACACCTCACTGCTTTCAATATGTTTATAGTGGGTCATAAACCACAAACAAACTAATTCTGTATTGCTGCTACTTCTCAAATAAAGTTTCCTTTAAATTAAACTACTTACATGTCTCTCGTGGACATTTAATTCATATTTTTTTTCTCAATACTATAAAGGTTGTGTTACAAAGTGTATAAAACGCTGCATGGTATTGTTTACTCGGGGACTTTCCAGCCCTCCTCAGCAGGCAGGTGATACCATGGCGATGAGGACAATGAGTTATCTGGATCACCTCACCTGTCTTTGGTTCACAATACAACTGTTAGTAAATAGTGTACAACTATTAAAGAGCTTGGTATGAATCATTTTCAAATAAGGATTTCAAATAGGACAGCATGTTGGTAAAACACACGTGTGTCCCATGGCGCCTGTCTTCCATTGCATCATCAACCATAATTAAAAACTGTAAGCAGGAAGCCATATTTGCGTGCTTGTTGGTAGGCCACTGTATGATGAGGTTACACTGACATAAAAACATATGGTTATTTATCTCTCCTATAATATTCCTATCGTAATTTCTGAGTTTATCCACCTTTAGTAAATAACTTGATCAAATGATCGCTTTATATCTGCATGTTTCGTTCGCTCCACACAGCATGTTGTTACATTGTTGTCAGTGAGTCATCTCAGTGTAACAACACAGCAGCGTGCAGCGTAGAGAAACACTTTTGCATAGAATGCACAAAGAGATGAGCACCGACTGCAACAAAAGACAACACTTCCTGTGTTGACACGACGCGATTTTTAGCGCTGCGTCCTCTGCAGGCTTTATGTTGTCTGAGCTGCACACGGTGAAACACAAACACCGATGTACAGCCAGAGGTCAACACTTGTCCGTTCAGCAACAAAACAGTCTTACCCGTCCTCCAGGTGACAAGCCGCTCCGCAGCTCGCCATCTCTGCCACCATCCTCTCTCCGTTGTAACCAAACTCCCGGTACACTTTATGTTCCTCCACCGCGTGCAGCGGCTGCGCATTCAAGCGCCTGAAAGGCAACGTGATCCTATCATCGACTATCAAGTGTCTCGGTAAAGGCGATATGCGGTAATTGGCGCAATAATGATCACCGGAACTCTTGTGGCTAAAGTATTCACATTACTTGTCACTTTGGGTGCAGCAAAACAAAACATATGCTATGCGTTTAACCGGAAAAGGCGCTCAAAGTTTCCTAAAATCTAAAAAAAAAGAAAACAGCCGTTTTGCAGAGCAGATGTGGATGTATTGTTTCCTCTCGCAAACACTGTGCATGTGTGCAAACAATTGGCTAAAAAAACACAGATCTTCACATCATGTTGTTTAACTTTGCGCTGTTCACAACAGGCGTTGCAGCTTTTAGGATCAGCGGTGCTGCGCAGTTACAGCGCAGTGCATGAAAGTGCATAAACGGACGTAAACTGTGGGCGGGGTGGCAGCATCCCGCCCTTAGCACGGGCTTTGTAAAGTCGTGATGATGATTTACATCCGGGTTTTTACCACTTTTTTCAGATATCAGAGCTACCAAGAATGAAATAGGTGGTCGAAGTAGATAAGATGATGTGTACTATTACAAATGATACAAGACTGAAATCAGCTGAATGTCTGGCCGTGTTGTTTGTGGAATGATAACGGAGAATAGTGAAACCAATTCATATTTTAGACCCCATACATAATCCCTTTTTTGCATTAGACCTACTTCACACACTCAAAGGTTTATGCTTAAAGCAATTACATCCCAGTAAAGAACAGAAAAAAAGGAAGAGAGTTGGAAAATAAGTTATTTTGTCATCCCAGCATTGCAAATATAAGCTGTCTACAGTCATCTCAGACATATTTGTAAGTTGCACATTTTCTCCCACACATAAAAAGAGCAGGCAGTCCACAAGTGCAACTAGGTCACTTTGAGCGGGAAAACATGCACATCAGATTACAGAGCTGTGCATTACCCAGAAGACACCAGCAGATGTCACATCAGACAACAAAACAAGTGCAGCTCAGCAGCAAAACCATGCCTCCCCAAAAAAATACCCTTGCACTGGAGGACAAATCCAAACTAGATTCACGTGGCCTATTTGACACGAGGACTGAGCAGGATGTCGACACAGTATAAAGTTAAATTGAAAGGAATCAAGGTGTCCATCCGTGGCATAAGCTCACTGTCCATCAGAGAGAGCCAGAAAGGTATAGAGAGCTTTCTCAGCGTCTGAGATGTCCAGTGGGAGGAATGAGTGAAGGCTCAAGGGCTTTCATCTGATCTTCCACTCATTGATCTTTTCCTTTTCCCCTCTCTCCGTTCGCCGGTCCAACTTTCACAAATGGATATGTAGTTTGCAGCAGGGAGGGGGGGAGAGAGAGATAGAGATGCCGCAGACTAACAGGGACATTATCCAGGCCTCAAAGTCTAAAGGGAGCGATCAGGAGAGCTCCTCAGTGGAAAAAGAGACAGGACCACATCAGACTCAGAGAGCAGACGATACCCCCAATACCTCAGGAAATTAGAGGAGATAAGCGAGAGAAGGAGAGGAGAGGGGGAAAAGAGAAAAGGATGGGGAAGGTCAGGAGGAGAGGAGATGGTGGGATGAGAGGAGAGCAAGTGACAAGATTAGCTCAGAAAAGATGGGAAGGAGTCATTCAAATAACTTAAAGTAAGATTTTCAGAGCTGATGGAGGCTTGAGACTAGGAGTTGATTTGGACTTGTTTAACAGGACTACGACTAACGCCACACTAGCCGATCTGTGAGTGATAGAGAAAAAGTTAAGGAATCACCAAAGTTACAATACATATTGGGGAGAACTTGGATGTCTGGAATAAATTTCATGACAAACCATCAAGTAACTGAGGGGACATTTAATTCAAAACCACAACTGTGATCTTCATGTGGTCAGGCATTTGGATTCATCCCCTGGGAACCATGAATGTACGAACTATTTGTATGCCAATCCATCAGTAGATGTTGAGATATTTCATCAGATCAGTGACAACTATGCCCTTCTGGTGGTGCAAGAGGAAAAGTCAGAGGACAACCAAAGTCAGGGTGCATCCTCTGGGGATCATGCTTACCTGTACAAAATCAAATTGTGGTTCAGACTTTTCAGTCAACATCAACATCGACAATCTATGAAATCGATAATCAATATTGTCATCTGTACAGCCATGCTGCTAAAATGTTGTTGCCCATTCACTCACATAGAGATGCTATGGTTCACTTCTTGCAACTAGATGTTTATTAAACTGTTTTTTTTTTAAGTGTTTGTTGGGGTTTTGGCTATTGTGCTATTTTAATTAGCATGCTACGTATTGATAGACTGTGAAAACTTTTTGACTTGCAATAACAGGTTTCAAAGACTTGAGACTTGGCTCAGACTTGATCCATAAGATTTAACGACCATCCTTGAAATGATATATACTGTATAGTATATCTCCAACAGCAGACACTGTATGTTTCCAAGACAAATTTCCTTCAGGACAATAAAGTCTATCTTATCTTATCTTATCTTATTGTAACCATAAAAAGCTATGCTGAGGTATATATTAAAAACATTTAAAAACAGGTATAAGGAAAGGTCTTTATCAAAAGAAACAACTGACATAATCTTTCCCTCCAGTGTGGTGCAGTTAAAACAGTCATTCATTGTGTGTGTGTGTGTGTGTGTGTGTGTGTGTGTGTGTATGTGTTATGACAGGGCTTTTTTTTTTTTTTTTTTTGATCGACCAACCTGTTTGGAAACGATGATGTCACACACCCTGGAGGCTTAATATGAGCCCTCATTGTGCAGACTCATTATCCATCACATAGACACAAATTTAACACACAGTCACACACGTATAAGGACGCTCAGTCAGGCAGGAAGAAAACCCATAACCTCTGTGCTCAAACATTCCCTTTATAACATACATGTATTCACACACGCATACGTACAAAAGGTGTCCTCTTACTCTGGAGATGAGGAACTCCATGTCCTCTCAATTTCAATGGGCCATTTTGCCATCCGGGCTGAGTTATCGCTGGAAAGATTCAGAGTAACAAAAGAGCCGAGGCTGCTGCAACCCTGCATAAAGAATCTGTAGAGAGGTGAACAGGGACAAAGAGCAACACCTTTGCATAGAGAAAATGGAAGAGAAGCTCTGGAGAGTGTCCAACCATGAGAGATTTCAGAGGCAACCTCATTCTATCCCGTACAACAGCATAATGTATAATGCATGGGCCTACGAGTTGGCAGTTCGCTAAATTTCTTTCCTGTGCAATCAATATGGATAAACTCTCTATATGGAAGCACAAAAGCAGAGCATTTGTACTGTTGTTGTACTCGCAAACATGGTATTGAATCAACAACGGAAGAATGTTTCGTAAAGTGTAAGTTGATTTTATGATTGATTGATTTTTTTGGACTTGGATTCAAACGCTAATGACTTGGGACTGAACTTTCCCCTAACTCCCTTTCCCTTTGATGCCATTTTCATTAACCAAGGCCTATATTTGTTTGTTCTTTATTTCTTTTTCTTTTCACTTTTTATTGTTTTTCAGCAGTCTCCTCGGTTTGCGTTTTTTTTCCCACTTGTGTTGAGATGTTTTATGAGTCCCTTGGGTATTTTTTTTCACCTCACCCACATAGTTTGCACTTCTTTTGTTCTCTATTTTCAGTGTGCTGTGATTTAGATGAGAAAATAAACCTAAGCCACCCTCTAAGCTGTTTGACATTATACTGTTGATGTGGATGACGTTTTTATTTAAATATACAGTCAAAGTCTTTGAGGTACAGTGTCATAGGCAGTGTGATGAAGAACATCATGTGCAATCAAAGAACAAGAAACTACAGCCATGCCAGCAACTCTGTGAGGCTGTAAATGGTGCTTTGCGCTAAATGCTTACTTGAGCATGCTAACATACTGACAATTAAAATTCATTACTATTCTAACATGCTTATGTTTAGCATTATCTTAGCTTTGTGTGTAATCATGATGACATACGTTTGACTGCTCAATATTCACCTTAAAAAGTAGCTTCCAAGACAATTAAACCATTTTTTCAACATTGTTTGAAAGTGTCACATTCTGTCTTTATTCTCCATCTACTTGTCCCACCGCTTTTTTGGATCATCACACTTTTTAAGTTAAATATTCAAATCCAAGTTGGTCATGTATTTTCTAGCTGCATTGTTATACTGAGTGGACAACTGCACCTCATTTCCCAGTCTCCGGCATGCAATATTTGGTCTTGACTTGATCCCTGGCATCTTTTTAAAGTAAAGGTTTGTGGGTTTTTATCAATCTCTCTTTGCACACCTTAAAATATAGTGGTTAGATCTCTTATGTGCAAAGATTGTGGTATGTGTTCTTTGTGGGAGTTAGTCCCAAAAACATCTGTATCATGTGTGAATTGTGTATTTTCTTTGATGTTAGGAACATCTGTCGTTGATGATGTGTTTAACACCCACAGTCTTAAGGTCCGGGGACTCTTTCATTGTTCCCCCTTTCACCAGAGGGGATTGGCTTTAATTGTTGTGCATTTTCACATATTAACAGATTTCCTTTCTCTGGACATGAATATAACTGGGAGGAGGGAAGAAACAGAGGAATGGAGACCATAATTTCGGCAATAAGAGGAATACAAAATGAATGTAGTGTCTGCATGGTCTCTGAGGAACTTGGATGTGAGTTTCTGACTTGACTCCCCCTCTCTCTTTCTACCCTCACATTAGTTTACACCCTCCCATCTCTGACACAAACCCTCCACTTACTGCTCTACATTATTACACACAGCGTTTCTGTACATTTTATGTTGTGTCACGGCCTCCTCCTCTTTGTATTTTCCCCACTTTGTTGATTCCATATTTCAGAGCCTGAAGGGAACTCTTTGCATTCAGTGGCCACAGAAGGACGAGTCCTGGGAGTTTGATATGCAGGACACGACTGAAGGCCATAGTCTAGTTTCCCTCTGAGACGCAGACCCCCCGCCTCCTTTCGGAGTGACTCAGCACAGTAGTGCGGAGGCAGAGGTTCAAAAATCCCCTGCCCTCCGCCTACACTCAAAACATGTGGGAATGGGAAAACGTTCTCCTATATTTAACCTCCAGGTGTTTGTCTGGTTTGTGTGTGTATGTATGAGTGTTGGTCTCAGTAACTGAGTCATCAGCAGCTGGGTGTCGGTAGACGGGTTATCTTATAGGGGAACATTTGTCTTGGGGGTTAGCTGGGGCATTTTAGCAGTCTAGGAAAAGCTGAGTGTGTTCCCCCTAATGCTTCACACTCACTTCTCTCTGATGAGAATGTTCCCTATTAAACATGTCCGTTTTTTTAGAGTGTATATACATTAGATTTGTCTGAAATACAAAGAGGCAAGAGAATTAAAAAGCGGTCACTGTAAATTGTGTACGCACATTGTGAATCTCCATCCTGCTCGGTCAGCTACATAATATCGCAAAGTTTAACAGAACATAAAAACAGCTCCCCTCATTATGAAGAGTAAAGCCTCCTCCCTTAATCGATCGTTAACTAAATAAAATGTAAGGTTAAGATCTTGGGTTGGTTATGTCTGTGGCAGTGTGAAATGGCAGCATTCCCAAATGGTAAAGAGACAGTGGTTGATATACAGTATATCCATATACAGTACATCTTTCCTGGCAACATGAAGTTCCCATTTGAACAGAAAGCGGCAATGCTGAGTCAAATCACTTAGTGCTATCATCCATCAAACCTGTCTAAACGATAGCAGCGTATTATGGCCTATAAAGCAGCTATATCCAGTTATTCACTATAAAGTCAAAAAGACCAGCTCAGCACAAATCTCCCAACTCATCAGATTTATTAAGAGCACTGAGAGCGATTCCCCTGAGACAGAAAGGGGATTTTACCCCTCTCTCTCTCTCTCTCTCTCTCTCTCTCTCTCTCTCTCTCTCTCTCTTCTGTTCAGGATCTTTGCCTCTTAGAGCAGGTTTTCTCCTCAAAGGAAGTCAGGATTCTGATTCCTCTCCAAGCCAAAAACTACACGCTGGGAGAACAAGCCACATAAAGGTAAGAGGCGAACACTTTCTTTCAAACATATTTGCTAGATGTGACCACATCCCCGCTTGCTCACTTGAGTTCTGAGGCAAAGCACAAAGTTTACGCCACTCAGTGTTTTAAATGAAGTCTGTCCCGTGACATCACATGTCAACCCTTCTCGCTTCCATTTGCCACATCCCTCTCAAATGCATATCGTCCTGTGGCGCGAAAAAAGGGAAAAAACTTTGCAAAGACATAGACCCAAACAAACTAAAACATATAAAGTTTCCCCACACACACAATCGTGTGCACTTAAAGACCTCTGAGCCAGCAGAGCGATAAGATTAGAGGAAGTACGTGGGTGTGAAATAGCTGTGGTGTGGGACTTTCTGAATTCACACAATCTACACTGACTGCAGGCCCTGCTTTTTATTAGTGTTCAAGCTGATAGGAAGACACAGGCACTGATGACACCCACACAAGGATCCTGTGATGCTGGGGTTGGAACTTTACAGATACATTGAACAAGCCAATACTTTAATCCCCCATAGTCTGCAAATTCAGACATACCTATATGCTTACACCTACTTTCACAACAGAGCAGATGTGTGACACTGCTCTGTTACTATACACTGTATCACATCATGTAAAGAGCAGATTGTTTCCTTAAATACAGTAAGTAAAGAAGCTACAGAGGCTGAAGTTGGTCTGAAGGCAGTAACCCTGAGGTTGTGACTTCTGCTCTGGTACAAACAAACCCAGAACCATCGGTGGGTCCATTAACAAAGTCCGGGGCTTGACAAGGCTCCCTTTGTTTCATAATTAATGCAAGTACGCGATAACCGTGACATTGACAGTTGGGCGGTCCATACATCAATGTCTCTGACACATGAAAATGAACGCTGCCATTCATCAATGCACAGGGCTAATGGACTCCATAAAACTGAATTATTAAGCACAACACAAGAGACCTTTGTTCCGGATTAATGGAAGCATAGAGCAGAGCACATTTATCATTGCGTTAATTGTTAGCCATACGAGAGGTTGCTACTTCAAATTATTTTATCAATTAATGCAACAGAATCAAAGTTGCCTTTTGTGTTGCTGGTGTTAACAGATATGTTGTGCGTTGCGATGCGTTTCATCTCAATCCTCTTTATCATCTACGGGTCTACCAGCATCTTTGTTTGTTTCTGCCTCTGTCTGCATCAAGCATTCACAAGTCTCAAGACATCTAGCACAGAAATTCCACTTTCTGAAAATACAGATATGCACATCGAGAGAAAAAAAGAACATAGTTAAACATGGATATAGTTGGTCTCCAATTAGTGTTATGTGTTTGCTGAAAGCTGCTCCTAGATGGATGGAAAACAAAAAGGGCGGGGGGGATAAAATGGGAATTTATTCAATCAATCTCACACAAGAACAGCACTTTGTGGTGTGTTTCAGTAAAAGAGGGAAAAAGAGGCCGGATGTGGTGCGTTAGAAATAGAGTTGAACAGGAGAAATAGTCAGAAAGTGCGAGAAGACAAATAAGAGAGCAATATATATATATATTGTCATCAAATCCTTGTGATTAGTGAAAAAAATATAAAAATACAGTTCTTTGTAATGTCATTATATTATCTTAATTGCTTACATGGTTAGATTTGGATGTGATTAAAAAGCCAAATGCTCTTAAGTTTTCTTCTGTGGAGCATTTTTCCACTTTCCAGGAACTGTAGAGAGTCAAAGCTGGGATCAAAAATAGCAGTTCCCTAAACATGTCAATAAGATCTCGCTATTGCTCAGCAGAACAGCAGAAGTGCTGGGAAAGCCCTCGAAATAAAGGAAGTGAAAGGGTTTTCTCTCAGAGCCACTGTCCACAGGCTATTGATTGTGTATTTGTTTATTTGGTTAGAAAAGTGCCCTGAGATCATGTTTCTCGAGGCAGATTACAGAAAGAAATACGATGCTGCATAAATGAAGTTACCCTTCTACTGAATTTCACGTCATAATGTTCCAGTAATTAGATTTGCCGTATTGTGCATTAGGCCTTGTTAAGGAAAGAAAGGAACACAGACGGCAAAGGGTCGGTGAAATGTTCCTGTGATTTAATGGGCATCCCCCACATGATTTACACCATGCGGACTTGATAAAAGACTGTCGAGGCCATAGCTCATCATTAAGACTTATTTTAAATATAGCAAGCTAACATCTTCATCGTTCTGTCTTTATATTATAAATCCTATTCACTCGGGATCCTTTTAGATCCAATAAGGACACAAGGGTTTTAAAGTGACCTTGGTCACTCCATATAAACACTGTAGAAAATGATTCACACAGTCGCTGCTTCGTTGCAAACCAACAAATTATGCAGACTGTTTTAATTAATCAGTTAATATTCCATACGTGTAGAGCAGCTTACTGAGTCGTCTGTCATTGTTGGATGTTATCCAAAGAGACATCTTCAGTGTAAATTAACACATCGGGCGAGGAGACTGTCGTTTAAACCGGAGATTTAGATTTATGCCTACGTTGTTCAATACTGAAGACACATGGTCGTCTGGGGTGGTTCTCGACTAATATGAATCCAGACACTCTTCTAATGGGGGGGGCTTACAACCACTTCAAGAAGTATTCATTTTTTATGAGGGGGCTAGATCTGTTGCCGCCATATCAGGGGCAGTCACCTTTACTGGTTACATCTTTGTGTCCAAGCAGGATTCAGAGAAGGTGCAAGTTAAAAGCACGGTTCAGTCTTTTTTTTGGGGGGTCGATGGATCATGAAGTGCGGTCTAGGGCCTTGCAGGGATCCTGTGTACAAATTTGACTTACTTGTAAGAATGTGAGGGAAAATCATACTTAAATCATATGAGGTACTGTTGCAGATTACTAAACATATAGTTAAGTTTATAGCTCCACCTCAACCAACTACAACAGCAAAATGCTACTTACTGTACATATTACTACATTAGTAATTAGGGTATAACATAATAAAAAAGTAACTCTCTCTGTGACTATTTTCCTGCACTATACGAGTACTTTCACTTCTGAAAATGTAAGTGAATTTTGCTTATACTTCTACTTAGATTACATTTTTAGGACGTGCAGGGCGTTTGCTTGTAATAAAGTCATTTTATATTTCAGTATTGTGGCTTTTACTTGTGTAAAGGATCTCTATATACTGCACTGCAGAATGGTGATTAGACATAAGAATTTCCATCTGGCTGTCATTCCTCCTCCATGTACAGGATTCCCAAGAGAATATAAACCATGGGGCTCTGCAGCAAACATTGCATTTCATGTGAGAAGGTTGTTAATAAGGGATAGTTGGGGTCGCAAGTCCCTATAGAGCAGGACAGTTCAGGTCAGGTTGAATGTGACCATGTCAAATGATGGGGACCATATCTGTGGGATGCACAGATGAGGACTTCTGGGCTAATGACTGTAATGTATTCTCGTAATAATGATGTAAGATTATTCATGATTCTTATAACTACTCCCTTCTCATCACTGATGTGGCTCCACTCCTATCGCCCATACTACAGCAGACAGGTCATCCTCGGCGAAGGGGCACCTGCTGTCCCGCTCCGCGCTGCAGTGGCTGTGAGACGAGAGTGGCCTATAGATGATTAGTGCACAGCTGGAAATGAAGGCAGACCTGTAACACCTGACGGGATTCTTAACATCACAGCATCGCGCGCACGAGCGACGCAACACGCACTTTACACACACCCCCCCCGCCCCCCCCCCGGGAGAGCCAGAAATGATGTCCCGTCTGCCGGGCAGCAGCAGGACAACGTGCGGGACCACTGGCACCTTTTTGTCGGCTTGTCTGGTCTCCGCTTGTCAAGCCCTTCGGAATTGCGGGGAGGTCCAGTGCGGCGACGGCCACCAGTGCTGTCCGCCCATCGTCACCGGGAACGGCAGTGCCAGCTCCGCGGTGCGCTGCTGCAAGCTCCCCATCCACATATTCTTCGACAATGTTGGCTGGTTTACGCGGAAGCTGTCGGGCATCCTGATCCTGTTACTGCTTTTCGCCATGGGCTACTTTATTCAGCGGATCATCTGCCCGCGGCCCCGCCGTCTCCCGCACAATGACCGCAGCGAGGAGCCCTCCCTCTTTCACGGGCACGCGTCGGCGTCCCAGGACTCCCTGCTGGACCGGTACCCCGAATACAGCCTCGGGGACTTCGCTTCTCCGAACCTGCCCGCATACGATGAGGTCAAAAATTTGCCCACATATGAGGAGAGCATGCAGGAGATGCACAGAGACCGGTCCGATGATAACTTGCTGTCGGAAAACGAGAGGGGTGGTCAGGGCAGGGTGAGAGCGGCCGGACCGAGAGCCGGAGACCAGAGACGGGATGTCCTGGAGGTATCAGGACCGCAACACAGCCCGAGGACATGTCGGAACTCTGTCTGAGATTGGGAAAAGCTGCAGAGACAATATGGCATTCTTATTTTAATAGAATCAGGGTAATTATCTTGCAGAGATATAAACTGAAGTGCAATTATAATCCTGAATGTTAAGAATAAAGGAGGAGGCTGAGAAAATGCACGTGTTTTGTAAGATTATAGGGGATTACTCGCTTTTTGTATGCAAATGGCCGCTTGGGTTAAGTAAATGAGATTATGAAGAAAGCGAAGGCGGCTGAAATTGACGCTCTTTGTGATCTGGACAGCTAATTTGGCTCCGGTACAATCGCATTAAGTTTTACTTAAGCACCTCAATTTAAAGTGGCACCGTGAGACAGTCTTTCTTCTGTCAAATTCTCGTCCTTTCTTAGTCTTAATGCTAAGTATTCTGCTGGACCTGAAAGACCTCCTTTTCTTTTATTTATTCCTCATTGCATTTGCATCCAAAAGGAAGACTATATATTGTTTCTCAGTAACCTGAAATGTGGGCTGAAAGAGGGAGGGAAGGGATGAGTATCAATTGTAATAGTTTCTGCAGCACACATTTTGTTTTTATCAGCCAGCTTTAGAGCCAGTTCATTTTATATTTTATCAGTATCAAAGCAGTATTTTTCCAAACTGACTCACACACATGCACATATCGGTGGGGGCTGAGAGATGAGCATTGTATCAGTGACCTGAGCCATGTCTGATATGCCTAAAGCTGTAGCCACAGAAGAGAAATGCTATTTTTAAAAATGCTGGGATCCTGCTGCCCGAGGCTAGTATCAGTGACTCCCAGGTTCTGAATTCAATAAAAGCAATGGCAGATAATACAGCTGGCATACTGATATGGCTTAAAGTTGTGTTTTGATGACAGCATGTCAGACAACATCACAACTGCTGCCAACGCAGAACTAACACTGTAAAGCTCAGACCAAGCAAAGGAAAAGACAAAGGGACATTTAACAGGAAACAAGGGTGGGACAAAAACATTATTTATTATTAATATTTCTTTGTTCTGGGAGTGGTCTGAGAATACCTAGAAATCTACTTGTAGTATGTTTACCTTATGTGTGTAACTGCCCCCTGTTCATTTGCATTTCTGATTAATGACACAAGAAATGTCTTCTTGCTGTTATTGAAAACCAAGCTGACACCACACACACCTCATTACACCAGGCTTAATGGCCTGTTTACCTGGATTAACGCTAAAGGTGTATTTGCTATAAACTGTCCATTAAAATGCCTCAATTATGTAACAATATTGAAAAAAAGCACATTTGTCATTGTCACTTTACTTCGACATTAGCTGGGTGTGTGGTAAACAGTCACGCTTGCCATACCTCTCTCCAGCACAGACTTGAAGCAATGTTAGCACATCATTAGTAACAGGCGAAAAGAGAAGAAAGGTAAATTACAAGAACAAATAACATGCCAATCATTATCACAGTCAGAAATGTTCTCCATTGGTTCCCAGACCCCAAGATGACATTTTCAAATGCTCATAATGATGTTTAGTTTACCATAGGAGGCTCGCAAAACTTGCAAAAATACACATTTTAGGGGCTGGAAGAAATAAAAAAATTGTTTAAATGTGGCTTAAAAAACGATGAACAGTGTGAATGACAAGAATCAATCAATTCTCAATCTTAATCAATTAACAAAATATTTTGCATTTGCACTTATTTACCTGTCCTGAATGAGAACGTGTTAGTATATAAACTGTGGAGCTTTGTTTATCTGTCCTGTCTTTAATGGTTATCTACTTGTGCCTCACTAGCTGTAAAGCACCCAGTGACCTTCACCTTATTAAATGAACTATCTGCCATCAGAAAGACCAATAAATACTGTTAGTACAGGCATTGGATAAAAGGACTGTTATTCACCACAATAAGTAAAACTTCAATTTCCGTCAGGTTTAGCTATTAAGGTATGGAAGATGTTGTTGCTAAAGCATCTGAATGTGCAAACTTAGACTTTACAATTAGAGACCTTGAGCTTCTCTAATGCTCCCGACGCTAAAAGTCTGAGTGTGATTGTGGTGGCTTGTGTAATCCAATACTGCCAGACCATGATGGCAGAGCCAACAGTGAACACTGATGGCTTTCCTTTCCAGAGGGATATTTGTGGGTGGCTCGAGTTTGCTCTTAAAAGCATTAAATGTGTGCTCAAAACCCACTGATGGGTAGATGAGGTTGAGTATGTGACCCCAAGATACATGAAGCCATATATATAGTGCTAGTCAAACCATAAGAGGTGTGAATGTTGTCCTCCACTTTGTCCTTCATAGTCCTTGCAGTTCATTGTGAACAAGCTGATATATCTAAGCTGTAACAGTGGGTTTGGGGGCAGTGGGCATAATCAGTCTCCAACAGTTCCTAGCATGAAACATTAATCAGATAAAGTATAGCGCGACATCCGCTGGCAGGGGAGAGGACAGTGATACATTGGGTTTTCTTTTTCTGAAATCCACATTACAAATCCAAACATATACTATATGTGCACAAACATATACAGAGACACAAAGGACTAATACACACTACACAGAGACACACAAGCGACATCAGAATGTGCGTCAATGATCCAGTTGTTTTATGGCTCATTGGACCAAAGAATGGATCAACTATAAAGGTCAAATCAATGAGCATTATCCTCCTCATAAATTTGACATTATATCCGGGAAGTTTATTTTTAGGGGAGCTGCATTGTTTGGTCATCAATCTAATATGAGAACTTGCAAGTCATCGGATATTAAGCTCTGTGGTTTAACAAAAGTACAGTATCTATTTGGTATTTTGTGCAGCGTTTCAAAAATATGAAATGCTATAGTCCGTTTATTGTTCAGTAGATACCACTGAGAGTCAAAAGTGTACACAACACAGGTTAAGTAAATACATATTTTTCATTACCAATATGTGAAAAAAATCCTAGACACATTACTAAGATAGGGTACAGTATGCAATGTATAATGGATGAGCAAGTATGGACACAACACATTATTTATTTCTATTTTTCAGTGCGTGGCCTCTCTCAGTGGTAATGCATGTGAAACCTGACTCCTCGCTGATAAGTCTTTTCATAGATTAATGTTGTCTGTTCCAGCCGACCATGTTTTTTTCACACAGTGAGTATAGGCTTTGAAGAAAGCATATGGAGGGAGTAAAATACGAGTAAAACAGTGAGTCAGAGAGAGACTTAGGCAGTAAGCAGCTAAAAGTGGTGCTGAGAAAAAACATCTACCAATTTATGTGAGGTTTCATCTGGGGCCACTCAGTTTCAGGGATTGTGCCGATCAATTAGTACAGTTTCTGTCCACATCATCTTGATATAGTTGAGCAGTTGTTTTTATTTGGAGTGCCCTGAGACAGATCTTCTCCCTCATTCGTCCCACCTGGGTCACTCGACGAGATGGATAGGCTATAATGGTGCGGCTGATGTACTGGCCCTCTGCCAGCCAGGGGGTGGAGCTGCATGGCAAGCATTTGGTTCCACACCTCAGCAGAAAAGGAAATACAAGAATAACTCAAAGAGAAGCACATATTGGACTCTAAAACACACATGCACCCAGAAATACCTCCGGTGCGAGTGCAAAGCTGAAAAAACATGTCAAAATGACTCTATGATCTTTGTATAAAACCAGTGAAGCATCACCACATTAAATAAATAGAAAAAATAGAAACAGTAAGGTAAAAGACAACATTGTGGATGAATATATACAGTATTTTTATTAACTGACATTCATTTTAGTGTTTACAGAAGGCAAATTCTTGAATACATAAAATGTAAAAATATCTATCCATACAAAAGCACAAAGTCAAACATCACAGACAGAAAAATATATTAATCAACTTAGAACTTGACACACTGATATCACTGAGAAGCCGATATGAGAGAAAGGCCATAAATGGTGTTGTTGCTGAAAAATAGTAGTACTAATAGATACTCTTCCCAAAGTCAAATAATCCACCTACAGCAACAGAATGCCATGTACAATGTTGTGCAAATGTTTTACATTACACAGCATATGCCACAAGATTGATGTGTAAAAGTCAAGTGTCCTATTCTTCATGGTCTACATCTCCAAATGTTCCCCTTTGTTGTTACTTGAAGTTAATGTACTTTCGACTAATGGTAGCCATTTTACCTTAAGTACAGACATTTTTACTACTTTGAGGCAGAGCCAAACCACTTCATATTCACCAAATGTCAAAAACACATGGGAATCAATTTCTGCAAAGCGGATGTTTTAGAGAAAGGTCCCCTGAACATTAACGTCGGGAAGCCAAGCTGTTTCTCACAGAGGGGTTTGCAGCTTTCTCCCTTTCTTTAGCCAACTCCATATCTATCTTCGCCTGTATTTTCTCCCAGTCAACCTCAACCTGGCAGAGAGACAGAAAGACGAGATCAGATTAAACACAAATCATTGAAATAAGTCACATTACTTAAGGTGGGTATCGCATTGGACGCTTGAAAAGTGTGGCATGCTTTAATGCTTTTCCCCTCCTGATTTGACTGAGATATTCTTTGCAGCAAGGGGCACCTCACTGATGCTCCTCTAAGATTAATTCTGGCAGTGGATACAGCAACAACAACTTCTAGGCTTTCCTCCATTTTTGGTTTCGTTCTGCAGCCTCTTCCGATTGGACAGCAGAGAAAAAAGTCACGAGTGTTCATCCCCTTAAGAGTTAACCATTTTCAAGTGTATAAGCAGAGCGTAAGATGTTGATAATCCCAGTGTGATTACGATCTAAATCAATGACTGTGCGGTGCTGTCCTAACTTACCCCTTGAGTGTACTGCAGGAAACTCTTATTTGTCTCCTTCCTGCCAAATTTCTGCAGGAACTTCCCTCTATAGGCCAGCACGGTGTCCACATGGGTCTTGTGTTTAACTGCCAGCTCCAATGCCCTGGACACAAGATGACAAGATGCAGATACACATCCATCGCGTATTGGACAAACATGCTTCACCAGAACTCTCACTCAAACCTTATTCTAAAACGAGGCTGAGTAAAAGCATCCTCCTCTCCTTCCAGCTGTAACCCTTGTACACACATTCATACGAACACTGAGTTCTACCTCTCCCAGTTGAAAAGGTCAATGCTGACTCGTATGGCTTGGTAGATGAGACCAGCTTGTAACAGCGTGGCCTCAGCCTCCTGGACCTGACCGCTGAACATCAGCATGTGGGCCAGAGACGACTCCTTAGATGGCTGCTCCTTTATAAAGTTGATGTACTGCACCCGAGATAACTGAAAGAGGAGAGGGAGAGGATTGTGAATGGGATACCTGTTAATTGGTATCTTTTAAACTTGCTTGTTTCAGTTAAAGCAATTGTGTGTGTGTGTGTGTGTGTGTGTGTGTGTGTGTGTGTGTGTGTGTACTTGTGTTGGAAGACCTGGCTAAACAAAAAAAAGTGTGATCAATTGAATTGGCCATTCATTAAAGCCCTTACCTCTCCAATGGCAGCATAGGCCATCTCCGCTGTGGTCAACTCCCTGTTTGCCATTGCCATACCAGCAAGACACGCCCACAAAGATTGGTCCTACAGATGTGGGGAGCAGAGGTATTTTTAGATGACAACATCTGACCATCTGAAACAATAACCTGGAGATGCGTTTTCACATTTACCATTTTACTATACTAATGTATCTACATATGGACACTATTGTTTGACTTCGTGCCTTATTGTACTTGTGCCTGTTGTAATATCTTGCTTGTTGTAATATTTAATGGCGTCTCAACACAGAAAGTGTTTCAGATGCGTTTTTCAATCAGTCTCACGCGAATCTGACAGAACACACCCTTCTATTTGAATCACTTGCATTTTTCTAGCAAGTACACAGGTAGCCTATACTCAGTACTGTGCCTGAATGCATCCTGTGTAGACACAGACAGAGAACTGAAGCTGCTGCTGCTGCTCACCTATCTTGTTGCTCAGGCTATAGCTCCTGTGTAGACACAGTGTAAAGACACAGGTGAGTGACATTGTTATGGAGGACCCTAATTATCTGAATATATGTTATTTGTATTCACCTTGTGTGAAATGTTTTATTCAAAAAGCAAAGTCATTTCCAGCTAGCAGTGATTAAGAATATAACAAAGCTTAATGAGGATGGCAGATTCAGGGGTGTGATGGTGTCTTTATAGACCCCATTACATCCTGCTGGGCCTCATTGTAGTCAGGCTCCAAGTCATTACGAAAACATGCATGACACACACAAAAACAAACATAAACAGAGACATTTGCTGTACACAACATCAATAAGTGTAAACAAATGTGTCACCACTTTATTCCATGCAGCTGCATTCATTAAAATGAAGCCCGAACCACCAATTGGCCAACAGTTGAGCAAACTTCTCACTGGAATCACCACTGTGTAATCGCCCCTTTAATCAGTGTCCATCACTAAGACAAGCAGCTATTATCAGAAACCATTCCTGGAAGCCACAAATAACACTGTCAGCCTGATGTCAGAAACGTGATATAAAAAGTTGATGACATATCCCAAATCTTCCTTTGCTGTTGCCTGTATCATAGTTTATTAGATTATTAATGCAAACTACTGTATGCCTTTTTCTGTGTATGGCCCTAAACTATTTCATGTGTCAACTCCTATTTGGTCAAGGCTTACTGACAATGACTGTAATTCTGGGAAAAGCCGTGCTGCCACCAAACTCTTACCAGAAGTAGAGGGGGGAGGGGTCGAGGAAAAAGCTCTTAAAACCAGTGCCTCTCTATCCGGCCCTTTTGTCCCACCCTCTTCTTGCTACTAGCCGTCCATTTCTCCAGGGTTGTGGTTATTGCATCATCGCCAAAGTGAAGAAACAAACAACACTGCATTCAGTGTGTGTGTGTGTGCATGTGACGAGTTTACACATGCATATAGTGGAGTGGGTATTTATGAGTGAGGTCTTTGGGGGCTAAATCCGGTAAATGGTGTCACCAGGCTAATTGAAGGCTAATTAAAACCTGCTGGTCTGGGCCCATAAACCTGTCTACTACCTTCTCATTTCAGACCCTGTCTCGCTGTCTTTCATACGTACATGCATGCGAATGACACACACACAACACAGGAAGCTGGACATTGCCAGAGCTGTAGACTGCAGGATATGTCACACCAAGTTTAGTCAACAATAAGAAGTACTTGACACTGTGATTTGTCTGGGTATTTAACATATAAAATAATATTTCAAATATGTATACAAATACAAAGATGTGCTGGTTTTCTATGTTACCTTGGCGAAGCGGCAGAGCCGCAGTGCATCCTCCCAGCGTGCAGTGGTGCTGTATTCGTGCAGGAGGGCTGGGTAGGGAGGTACACTGCTGAAAACCAGTGAACCGTCCCCTTGGCGTAACGTCACCTTGGTGCCAACATAGCTCAGAATGTGGGGTGAACGGCTGAACTCACTTTCAAGGGGACAAATACGTTCACACACACACACACACACACACACACACACACACACACACACACAC